GTGTGTGTGTGTGTGTGTGTGTGTGTGTCTGTGTGTCTGTGTGTCTGTGTGTCTGTGTCTGTGTGTGTGTGTGTGTGTGTGTGTGTGTGTGTGTGTGTGTGTGTCTGTGTGTGTGTGTGTGTGTGTGTGTGTGTCTGTCTGTGTGTGTCTGTCTTTGTGTGTGTGTGTGTGTGTGTGTGTGTGTGTGTGTGTGTGTGTGTGTGTGTGTGTGTGTGTGTGTGTGTGTGTGTGTGTGTGTGTGTGTGTGTGTGTGTGCATAAAGAACGTCAGTCACGGTAACTTTTCACGCTGCATGCATGGAGCTCTTGACATGAGACTCAATCAGCAGCCCTAAAGCCTTCCTCTGTCTCCCGCGCTTCTGCCACCCTCACTTTTGAGGAGACTAATCTCCACTGTAGGATGTAGACGAGCCATTTGATATTGTCTTCCCCGGTGTTTTTCATTATCACCGTCTTACCGCAGCTTGCCGGTGGCATTACCTCGACATTAATGGGCTTGACAGGATGAGAATCACCACACAATCCCGTCACAGCCTCCCATCTCTGCTTTAACTCAGCTCGCCTTTCAAAGCCTCTCTGCGCCTTCTTATCGCTCACCTTCTTTTTTCTGCTTTGGGGTGGATCTGCAGCAGGGTCATGGACAACATTTTTTGGTAAATTACTCAGAGGTTAGGTAGCTTGTCAGAATTCAAAAGGCACCCAGACAGAGATGAAGAACGTGTCGCCGCGCTGATGAAAAACACTGTGGTGCATTCTGAAGGTTGGAAAATACACAATGGTGTTTCTTTAAAGAAACCTTAAAGAGCAAGTCACCCCCAAATAAACTTTTTTTGCTGATAAACTAAATAAACGAGTGTCTAATCGTGCTGCAGACACGTGTCGTCAATAATTTGGCACTTCAGTGCATCTTAGTTAAAATTTAAATATTCTGCCTAAAACTGGCAGTGTTGTGCCGTCGCCAGGTAAAAACTCTGCACTGTATTTTAATTTAAATCTGCCACCGCTATTGGCTAAGAAGTATGCTATGATGTAAACTGGTACATTATGATGTCACAATGCTGTCGTGAGCCTGAGTGTGTGTGTATTTGTTAGCGGCTCCGCCCTCTCGGTCTGCCAGGCAACAGCATGTGTTGCATTTTTCAAACAGGAAGTGGGAGTGGAGTTAGACTCTGGTAGGGGGTGACTTGCTCTTTAAATTTAGCTAAAGATTTTCTGATTTGCATCATTCTGACGGATTCTTGTAAAAACAATAAACATTTAAATTTTTGCTGCCCGACATTTAACATGTTATGTGTTTCAGACAGACTCGTTTATGGCTGCTACTGATCACCTCTAAACGCGACCTCTGAGATTTACGGTCTGAATATTTCAAAGGTTTGTTAAAAGATAATATTTTATTTCTGGTTTTTGATTAAGAAAACAGACTTTTATTTGTTATTTTAATATCTCTTATGTATCATTGCTTATGTTGCTGATTTAAACTTTATTCGACTTTGTTTTTAATGTGAAATGAAATAAACTAACATATAATTCAGGTTAGACTTTTTTACTTTTTTACTTTCCAAGTCCAGGTTATAAAACCGGCTGCGCAGTGGTGCAGTGGTTAGAGCTGTTGCCTTGCAGCGAGAAGGTCCTGGGTTCGCTTCCCGGCCTAGGATCTTTCTGCATGGAGTTAGCATGTTCTCCCCGTGCATGCGTGGGTTCTCTCCGGGTTCTCCGGCTTCCTCCCACAGTCCAAAAACATGACTGTTAGGTTGATTGGTCTGTCTAAATTGTCCTTAGGTGTGTGTGTGCGCGTGTGTGTGTGGATTGAGGGTGGGAGGAGGGAGAATCAAAGGGGAACTCTTATGTGAATCTGTGTGTGTGTGTGTGCGGGGGGGGGGGGACTGCTGGGGGGGGGGGGGGGGGGACTGCTGTCTGGTTGTTTTTCACATTGTAAAGCGCTTTGAGCTGCATTTGTACGAAAAGCGCTTCATAAATAATTTTGATTGATCGATTGATTGATTGATTGATTGATAAACTGTTTTAAATTCCTTCTGTGGATCACGTCTCTCATAAATGTGCCCTGTTGTTCTCAGGTCATTGTCTCGTCTTCTACTCGTCCGCTTCCCTCATGTTTCGTGTCGATATAAACTCGTGGAGTCCCCTCCAGTCGGTCCCTTTGCATCGTTTTATTGCTCGCCTCCCGTTTTATGGCGCGGTATGGGGGCCAAAATTAAGACTACTGCCCAGCAGCAGGAGGCTATACAAATTCCGAAGCAAACCACCGACCTGATTAATGATCAGCTGGCGCCTGTAACTGAGAGGCTGGCGCTGCTTACTGAGCAATAGCACCTTTACCGGCGTTACTAATAGATACGCTAGGGACTAGCAGCCCTCGGCTGGTCATTGACTGGTTCACACACTCCCTCTGCTGTCTATTAGCATGGATAGGCTAGCGTTAGCCTGGACGGGCTGGTGTTAGCATTGGAGAGGCTAGCCATTAGCGTGCCTAGGCTGGCCATTAGCTGGATTTCCTACCCCCTTGATGGACCATTAGCATGGATAGGCTGGCATTAGCATCGAAGAGGCTAGCCATTAGCGTGCCTAGGCTAGCCACTAGCTGACTAGTGACTCTCCGGGAGTGTGTGAACCAGTCAATGTCCAGCCGAGGGCTGCTAGTCCCTAGCGTATCTATTAGTAACGCCGGTAAAGATGCTATTGCTCAGTAAGCAGCGCCAGCCTCTCAGTTACAGGCGCCAGCTGATCATTAATCAGGTCGGTGGTTTGCTTCAGAATTTATATAGCCTCCTGCTGCTGGGCAGTAGTCTTAATTTTGGCCCCCATACCGCACCGTACCATGTTACTTCAGCTTGAACTGAAGATCCTCAGCAAACCACATTAATTTTACATTCATCACCAGAAGCTTACATAACTGTAAAGATTTCTTTTGCCAGAGTCAGTCAGTAACATTTTATATGATAAATGATCTAAAATGTCTGAAATGATTCATTTGTAGGTTTTGGAGCACCTTTAAAGGCTTTTAGCTGCTAAACTGACTCCAAAGATGCTGATTTAACACATTTCTGACTAAAATAATAAACAAGTGATGGATATGCAGTCAGACATTCAGTTTTTCACTTGATTGTTAGAATCTGTTACTTTGGGTTTTTCCGCAGGCCTCAGCTGCAGAATTACACTGTGATGAATATTAGCATGATAAAATGTTGAATCTTTTCTGTGTTACCACAGAATCCCAGCTCCGTGTGTGTTTCGACTATTAGTCCAAAACACAGTTGTGCCAAAGTTTATGGGTTTTGGTTTTTCGGAATTAGGAAAGAAAAACTTTTCCCGAAACCCAATTAGATTTTTCACGTGCGTTATCTCAGAAATCACTGCTTTTCTTTTACTTTGGCAGCAGATAGCATCTGGAAAAATAAGTTAAAATCACTGAAATAGCAGAGTCAGTCGTGATTCTACAAGTGGAAGCTCCTGCTGATGAGAGGGCAGACGGTTTTCCATCTAATGACGACGATTCTGGAAGAGTTTTGTCCTTAAAAAGCTTCAGAACATTAAGAGGCTTTGTCTCGTCGTGTTAACAGATCTGTCACAGAGAAATATCTGGTTAGTTCTGCCTTTCAGCACCGCTCAGCACACAGCAGGTCCAGCGTTCCCTCCCTCGCGATCCACAGTCAATATTCAGACTCTGGTATTAATATTGGCTTACAGGCAAAATTACTTTTGGGGAGGGGGGGAAGTCTTCAGGGATGTTCAATAAAATAATAACTACTGAATCATTTTTACTGTTTCTTTACAGTTTTAAATTAAATAAAGGAGTAACTTGGTTTTTTTTCATCCTGGGATCAGCTGTTACTCTTAAATCCCAGAAAACACTTTCAAATAACGCAATTAATTACTCGTATTTATGCTCTATAAACTAAACATTAATTAGTAAAATTAAATCTAAATCTGATTTTAAGTGTTTATTAAAGATATTTTTAGTACAGATCTGCAGAGTAAACCCATAATGAGAATTATCCGTGGGAAAATATACTTTCATATAAGTTTTAGTAAATTTATTGAAATGATTGAAATATCAGAACAAGAGACAAAACAATACCTGGCACCTGCATGTGAACAGCATCCTTTTTACGTAGCTCTGCAGATTTTTGAGAAATTATTGTTGCTAAAAAAAAAAGACTGTTTGCTGCAATTATATTTGGTAGCTGACAGAAATGGTTGTAAACAGCACCGCATGTTTTCGGTGTCTGGATGTTTTTTCACTGCTGAAAGGATCAGGAGGCAGGGAAACGGGGTTTTTATTTTTTTTAACAAACATTGTGAAGCAGAAGGCGCACTTTCAGGAAGGGTTCGGGTTTTCTCCTCAGCTGAGGACATTTTGCCTGTGGTGGTGGGATGACCTTATCAGAGAAAACCTCACTAAACGTGTGTGTGTGTGTGTGTGTGTGTGTGTGTGTGTGTGTGTGTGTGTGTGTGTGTGTGTGTGTTGATACTGGTGCAAACTGGAATTTGCATAATTTATCTTTTATCAAAACAAGGTGTAACTAAAGCCTAAATTAATATAGAAGCTAAAATAAATCACTGGAAAAACAGAACAAGCCTGGAATGTCCTCCTAGTTTAATTATTTTTGTTGATTAACACTTCCCCCTAGTGGCCAACTGCAGCAATAACAACTGGTTTCATTCCTTTTAAAGCTTGTTGCACAAATTAAATTCAAGCCCCATCTATTAGTCATAATTTTAGTTTTATGATAAAATAAATATTACTTTTAAATCTTTGAGTGTTCCATGTAAAATTCAAGCACTTTCAATGACTTCAAGCAGCAGAAAATATTTTTTGAACAAATTTGTTTGGTCCCATTTCATTAATCTTAACTGGATTTTCCTGATTTAAAGTGATTATAGATCCTAAATTATAACATGAACATATTTTTTAACGTAAGGTCACTTTTTAAGCCGTGGTCAAATGTGTGTAATTATAAAATCCACGTAAAAGCGAAGTAGTGTTCAAATTAGATTTATTGGAATGCAAACAGAACAGTCTAGATAAGCACAGCAGCAAGTATTAGTTAAATACATTTAAAAGGTAAATCTGAGACACACAGCAGAGGTTAGGGCTTATTGAAAGTAAGAGGGTTTTTTATTTTAGAAACATTAATCTTTCTTAAACAAAACATTAAATGGATGAACTGTTAACATGTGAGAGTTTATTTATAATGATGCTCTCTGAGGAAGTTTGTCATGTAGTCAGCGAGAGCCTCAGCATCCTCCAGGGTCACAGCGTTGTACAGAGAAGCACGGATTCCTCCCACTGACCTGCAGGGGGCGACAAATTACCAAGTTTAGGTCTCTCTCTCAGACCTTTGACCTTTGTGCTCTACAAATAAAATTGATTGATTGATTGAACTATGACAGAGGAGAGTTCTCTGAGGTAAAAAAGATGATAAGTATTAAAGTACTCTGGGGGGGAGTAGAGTTGCAGGCTGGTAGCTACGTATGATTAAGTATCTATACATGTTCATTATAATGATATATTTGAGTTAACGATGCTTCCCTGTCCTTCCTTCATCCGTTAGGAACACAGACTAGAGCGAAATCCACCGATGCCTCCATGCTGCTCAGTACCAGAACTGCACCAGATACCAAAAGAACCAGTCAGCTGGCAGAGCTCCCTGGTGAACGTGTGAGCTGCAGAACTTGCAAAACTATGTGAATCCAGTAGAATCCAGCTGCTGTTGTTTATTTGTTGTTGTTGTTTACAGAAACTAAATATATCTGCAGGGCTTTGGGCCCAGGGCAGAGTTTTATACCTCAGAGCAGCTTTAGATCATGACCTGTTATTAATAATATCATGTTATTAATAATATCATGTTATTAATAATATCATGTTCTTTACACCAGCCTGAATATTCTGTAATGTTCACGGACATCCAGACCTTAGAAATGAAATATAATCAATATTACAATAAAAATTATTAATATCATGTCTTCATTAAGACGAGTTATCTGTTATACATATTTACATTTGATAGTAATATGATTCATAATATTTAATCTCATCTTCTATCATTTGTGGGTTTAGTGCATTCACTTAATATTAATTATAAATGATAAATAACGGGTCACTAGTCTGGGCGTAGAGCGTGTTTCTAGTTCAGCAGCTCACCTGTTCCACTGACAGGAGAGATCCTCTCGTCAGCAGTGCCATGACTGAACACCGACCTCAGATCGGCCCGCCGGGACTTTGGGTCCTGGTTCCGCTCATCACGTTAGCGCCCGTTGTGACATCAGAGCTTTATTGGCTCCGTTAGAATCGCGGCGCCTGCTGATTGTTTGTGCGCAGCGCGGGAGTGAGCGATGAGCGCGTTTTTGCTGCTTGGGCGGTGAAGGACGCTGGAGAAACGCGTTTGGATCAGCAACAGGAGAGCGCGAGCGAGAGAGACACTACTAAACCCAAGCGAGCGCGAGAAGAGATTTTGACGGAACTTTTTTCGGATTATACCAACCGACGGATTTCCGTTGCCACGACGGAGAACTTTAACCCCTGAGCTAAGAGGTTCACGCCTGCGAAACACACCTGTGTCCTTTTAGTGAAATCATCCCACGCTCATGGGCTCCATCCAGAAACTTCTTTTCCAAGGCCTCGTCACCATCCTTCCTCCCCACACGGAACGGCACGTTCATGCGGCTTCGACAGGACACGTCCACGGGACACCTGAACAGGTGGACAGGCGTTTTCATGAGGGACTCGTCACTGAATCTTCACCACTGTTTTCATCGACTTCTGCAGATTTTCCAACTTTTAACCAGACTGAAGTTATAAACTCACACATAGAAACCATTAGAAGAGTCGATGATGTCATAAATCCGGGAGGATTTCTGCTTGTTGAGCATCTCCATGGCAGCGCTGCCGCCATTATTCTTGATCCACTCCAGAACCAGACAGGTGATGTAGATGCTGAGGCCGACACGCGACACGTTCATGTGTTATGTTGACTCCACATGAAGACTTAATGAACCGTGAAACTTACAACAACATGAAACTTACCTGAAACATGGCGGCGTGTTGTAAAGCGAGCTCATTTCGGCCTGAACCTTGTAGTCCAGAACGACGGGACACTCCTTCAGAGCGTGGCCCAGCAAGTCCTCGCGGACGATGACCACCGTGACTCCCGCACAGCCCACGTTCTTCTGAGCCCCCGCGAAAATGAGCCCAAACTACACATTTAAAAACACGCCAGATGTTTTCAACGGTGCAGAAAAACACAGGAAAGAGCCACAGACGCGAGTTTTGATGTCGTCACCTTCGACACGTCTACAGGACGGGACAGGAAGTTGGAGGACATGTCGCAGACTAGCTCCACCCCCTTTGCTTCAGGTGTGAAGCTGAATTCTACTCCGTGAACCGTCTCGTTGCAGCAGTAGTACACGTAGGAGGCTGAGGGGGTCAGGGTCCAGCTGCTGGGCTCGGGGATTTCTGAAGGGAGGGGACAAAAACAAAAATTACATTTAGATAAGTCACTCGATTTTGTGTTTAAATCAGCAAAATCCAACCATCTTAACCATAATGCAGCTGCATTTCCCTCTGGGATTAATAAAGCATCTTTGAATTGAACTGAACAGGCTCATACCATGAAACCCCCACCGCCGTGTGTCACAGGAACAATGTGATTTATGCCCCTAAATGCAGCACTTTTATTTTACAAAGTATTAAATTGGTTTTTAGTACAAAACGATAACATCTCTATATCGTCTCTCTTCCAGAGAGGTTTTTCTGCCTTCTGGTCTGTCCACGTCATGTTAGCTTAGACAGGCCGGGATGTTCTGGTTCTGTGTGGAAAACTCACTCATTACTACAACAGATTTAATGTTTTCATCTGAGAAACATTTGTGTACTCTCACTGATGAAAGGTTGTGACAGACTTACAGACCCTAAAACCGATCCAATCATTAAAAATGAGTCGTTTATCCACTTTTAGCACTTTTATTAAAAAGCGACCAGGTTTCAGGTCACATTTCTGCAGAAATACTGAGATTATCTGAAAAGATTTGCAAGCTTTCAGGCATAAAAGTACACAAAAGCCCTTCTGAATGCCACATTCAGACACAGCCATGTGGAAAAGCTGCTGCATACCAGCGTCTGCTCTGCTGTTGGTTACGCAGCAGGCTGGATTAACTACTGAAGCGTTGTCTTGATGCAGCCTGAATGACAACGACCCGCTCTTTAACTGTTGAAGCTGTATTTTGGACATTTTCAACAACTAAATGTTGTCGTTAAGCTCCTCTGGCATTCACACAAAAAGCCTCGTCAAACGTACTCGTGTAGCTATGCAGCTTTGGGTGAACAACGTTGACTTTTCCGTATTTCTCTGCTTCTTTTGCCGCCTTTGCCGACCACGTGCCGGTTACCAGGTAATCGGCACACCTGTCCCCTTTGAGGCCGATGAGGTTGAGAGGAACTGCGCTGAACTGCCCGGACCCGCCGCCCTGCAGAAACAGCACCTTGTAGTTTCCTGGGATGTTTCTGTAGAGACAGACGTCACCAGGTTCAACGATCCGCCGGGTTTTCAGAGCAAGAGTGGATAAATCACTTACAGCAACTCTCTGAGGAGACTTTCTGTCTTGTTGAGGATTTTGTTGAAGTCTGACGATCGATGACTCATTTCTGGTTTGAAAGGGAAAGAAAGAGGATCACGTTTTCCCGTCACGAACAACAAACACCTGAACGGTTTCTCTACTCACCGAGGATGCTGATACCTAATCCGCTGTAGTTTAAGAGCTCTTTCTGTGCTTGGAGCAGCACCTGCAATACATCACATATCATATCAGGCATCAACTCACTACGAATCAAAGATCTGAATTAGGGCCCGACCGATATATCCGCCGGCCGATATTATCGGCCGATATTGGGGTCAATAACCCCAAAATTCCACTATCTCCGCTCCGCTCTGGCTTTCCGCTGCCGCTCGCTTCCGAACTCAATGTTTACTGCTACCCGCTCTACAACGGCTCCACTCCGGTGCGGAGACCTGAGGTGCGCAAACAGGCATGCGCGGGATTTTCGAGATCTTGCGATACAGTCCGAGCAATAAACGCGGAAGTTAGATCCAAACAGCCGTTCTGTGGGAGAAACATCGGCATGAACCGTTTAATCTGCCCATCATGTGTGTTGAGAGATCAGCAGTGTTTGGATCAACAAAGTGTGACTACTTTGATAGTAGAAACTGTATTTATGGCTTACTTTTGTGCATTTAAACTTCAGCCGCCATTGATAGTTGTTAAAAATTGTTAAACCTGTGCATATGAAACAAAAAACGCCTTTTGTTTATCGGTTTATTGTGAAATAACGGAAGTTGTGCTTGCTCCCTTTCCTGTTGGGCGGTTGTGGTTTCTGTCCGTTGACTGCGGAGGTGCTCCGGCGTCCGGCAAGAATAGAATCGATCCTATTTTTGCCGGATGGCGGAACGGCGGTCGGTGCACTGCGCCGCACGGCCGCAGTAGTGGAACAGCTCTGACTGACTACAACGGGACCGATTTTGCTGCGGAGTTCGTGCCGGAGCGGAGCGGAGGTAGTGGAATTTTGGGGTAACAGTATCAGCCAAAAAGACGGCCGATATGGCCGATATTGCGCTACCTATCCAGCAGATGGCGCCAGCTTTATGAACTCATGTTGTGTGGCTCCACTCCTTTGAACTTTGAACACAAATTATTGTTTTGGAACTTTTAATTTATTATTATTTATATTTCTTATGTGCATTTATTTCCTGTCCAGGGTGAACAAGTTCACCAAGTTAACTTCCACAGAGTGTTACTTTGTTACAAAGCACACGTATTACGTTTTATTTATTGCTGCATTTTTATTATTTTAATATCCTTACAGGGATCTTCTGTCCCTAAACTTGTGTGTGTTGTTAGATTCCCCAGAGTTAGCCAAGTCAGAAAAACATGTTGTAACCAGTTGATTTAGCATGAAGTAATGGAAGGGAAGGCTTGCATTCACCTACATAAAAACACTACAATGTATGTGAATTCACTTACGTTGTTTTACGCTAAACTAAGGAAACCAACTGCTGCCAGATCTTATTGGGCTGGTTATAAAATGCTTTTTCTGACTTGTTGAACTCTGGGGAATCTTAACAAGACAGTTTTACTGAGTGGTGGCATAGGGATGCACCGATACGATATTGACATCGGTATCGGCACCGATAACGATGCCAATATCAGTATCTGTATCGGTAAAAGTTAACAGATACCGATGCAGTTGCTTGAAAATGGCTTCACTGTAACTTGTCATTTCTGTTCACCTAATATTTTAGTTTTGTGATGATTTCTATTCATATATTTTACTTTTTATCTTCCTAACAGTCTTTTCCTGTTGAAAGCAGAGAAGAAAATAAAATCTGTATTCCAAATTATTGCATTTTTGTGTGTGGTAGAAGTATCGGTATTGGTAATCGGTATCGGCGAGTACTCAGATCCAAGTATCGGTATCGTATTGGTTTGGAAAAAAGTGGCAATGTTGCATCCCTATGGTGGAATATTCCTTTAAGTTAAAATGTATTTGTGGAAACCACAGTTTACAAGAAAAAACTTGAATGTTAGATTTATGCTGCGACTGAGTTTGTGTGTTCTGTTGTTTTTGAGATCTGCTAAATACATTTTATTTGCATTACTTGGAAACCCTAGTGAGTTATTGAGACAGTTCTTTGGTGTGTAACAGAGAAATAAGTTTGCATTAAAAAGGCAGAGAATGAAGGGTTTTAGCTTAAGAACATTTTTAGTTTAATTTCCTTCTCTTTTTTTGTGTGAGGGAGATTTATCGGCCTCTGTTAAAAGTTTTATATCGGTATCGGTCCCAAAAAAAGCATCTGAAAGAGTTTAGAAAGTAAAATTTCAGATAAAAAATTGTTAACTGATACATTTTGTTATTTTTGGGAACACATTTATAACAAAGTTTTGAAACTTAATTTAAGGTTTGAATGCACATATTTTATAATTAGTGAAAAATGCAGTAAATGCTAAATCTTATGGACTGAATCTCCCGCATCTATCCCCAGCATTAAATCAACCATTTTTTACACTTCATGACAGTTACTTATTTTATTTTTAAAATAACAAATAACCAAATGTGTGTGTTTAGGAATATTATAATGTAAAAAACAAGTTTTACATAGAAAAGCCTTTCTGAGGGGGAATGAAAACCCTAAAATAAGATCAAAACAAAAGCAAAGTCCTGATAGGAGAACTCTTCTTTTAATCTGGTTGATAAATTATGCCTAATCTAACATATTAGAGGACTGCGGTGATTTATTCTCGTAACCGGGTGTTCTTCTGCCATCTAGTGGTTAAATGTGTTACTGCAACTGAAGCACTAAGCAGGTTTCCACATGAATGAATGAATGAATGAGGCTGATGCAACTCAACACACCGTTTTCAGTCTGATGCGCTGCAGAGACCCGAACACTAAAGCTAACTATCATTTTTCACACATGACTGCGTCATCAACAGAAAACCCAACAGATTCACTGTAAAACGTGTTAACTCCTCAACGTAGAGGTGTTATTTAAAGCCATCTACACTAAACGTTATAGTCTTAAGAACTGCACTGAAGTGTGCATTGTAAAACCCTTCAGGAGCACATATTTAAAATAAACAAGTGCCGTTTTGATTTAAGCTAGCTCCTGTTTGTAGCTTTTCCGCGGATTTGTGGACACCTAACGCAAATAGAAGATCCAAACGTACTGATTTGGGGAGTTTTGCTGGTCCAGGGCCGAAATTAACGATTTGTTTCTCCTCCATGGTGCAGAAAGTAGCTCCTGAGTGCAGATAGCGGATGCTATTTCAGCCTAAAACCGAGCCGTGAGTGAGCTTCGTCTCCTCCACCGGTGGACGTGTGAAATGTTGCGTTCAGGCGAGGCTCGTAAACTGAACACTCCAAAGACGGCCGCTTCTGGCGAACTGTGTAGTCTCATTTTACTTTTGCAGATTTCCAATAAGATTTTTGTTCAGTTTTTCAATAACTTGTGGATTTGATTTAGTAGTAATTTAAATACTAGCTGGCAGCTGACTTCACGAGGATGTCATATTTGTCTTTAGTTGCTGTGAGCTAGGATGTTGAAAAATCCGCAGGATTTTCCCTCCTAAACGCATTGATATTAAAAACGTCGATGATTTAAAACAATAACAATAAAAACTAGAGACAGGGGTTAATATACATATATTAGGTGTTAGCTAACCCGTTTCTGTCAGAAAGTCATTGAACTTACATGGTAATCTGGTGACATAAATTTAAACACGTTTGTCTAGCTGCTCAGGATCAGCTTCCAGTTTATTCCATGGAACAAAGTTGTTTTGTTTTCTGCTAGTTCAGAGGTTGTGTTTAACCCAAACCCCATCTCTACAGTGGGGCATGCAAACTCAAAAAACTCTGTTTTTCAGAAAGCACATGCAAAAAATGAATTTCTACCTTGTAGAGCTGGAGAACTTTCCAATCTTTTGTAGTTAGATCTAACAGAAAGACTGAAAACTAGAACTGAACAAGAGGGAATCAATGAGGAGATGGGAGAGGGAGTAACAGGAGGCCTAAGTAAAAGTTTTTTTAAAATATTGCACAAAATTGGTTGGTTTAGGTGAATGTATGCAATATTATTTAATTAACTAAGCTAGACATTCATCCCTCCCCCTCTGAAGCAGACAGACCAGTTTCACATCTTCACCAATGACACAAAGTCGCATGAATCCCATTATAAAGTAAACAGAGCAGCATTAACTTGGATGTATTTAATTCCTAGCTGGTCAGCAATGTTCATTTCAACTGAGACTTCCAACTGCTTCATTTTAACCACCCTACAAACACTTTTACCAACATAATTACATTTCTCAACTCGTGACGGTCACAAGAACTCATGTTAAAAAGTCACACGGCACACGTCTAACTAGTGCTCCATCTCTCCTCCGCCCTCGATGTCCAAGCGTTGCATCCTTGATTTGTGTTTCAACTCGACTTGTGTCAGCTTGTATTAGTTTCATCAGATGAATATTGGCTGAATTCATAAAACACAAGAAACCTGGACTTATTAATTTAATCAACTGGCTTATGGGGTCTCAGACCATTTTAATAAAATAATGAAATACAGTCAGGTCCATAAATATTGGGACATCGACACAAAACTAACATTTTTGGCTCTATACACCACCACCATGGATATCAAATGAAACGAACAAGATGTGCTTTAACTGCAGACTGTCAGCTTTTATTTGAGGTATTTACATCCAAGTCAGGTGATCGGTGTAGGAATTACAACACTTTGCATATGTGCCTCCCACTTGTTAAGGGAATATTTATGGACCTGACTACTTGCTGCAGACCAAAGGTAAAGCATTTGTCTTGTAAGATTTTTGGGAGGTAAGATGGGTTAGGAGGGGTCCAACACTTCCAACTCCAGCAACGCACTGAAAAGGAGCCCAAAGTGAATAACCTGCACATCATTTGTTACTCATGTCAAAGTTTATTACAGTCCTCATCTGCTGGTGCTCAGTGACCTCATGGACGACTTGTGAATTTCCAATTCATCCAACCAGCGCCATGAGGTTGGAAAAATGACCTGCAGAGCCACAGGGTCGATACCACAGGTGTGGCTTGTTGTTAGTCCCATACCTTACAAGACACGTTTATTGTAATTATCCAAGCAATGAGAATGTAAAATCAGAAAAGAGCAGCAAAGAACAGAGTCGTAACAACCTGCTGATATGAATTAGATTATTTAAAAGAAGCCTCTTCACCCATTTTTCTCTCACCTGATTCGGTTTTGTTTCCTTCGACTCCAGAAACTAAAGTTTAGTGTGTGATAACCGACCTGCTGAGAAGAAAGAACAGACCAAAATCATTTATTAAAGATAAATAAAAACACATTCAACTTAAATACAGTTTAGAATCATAACGATATGATTAATAAGTATTTCATACATTATAAAATAATGAATAAATTAAATGCAAATGTAATGAAAATTATTAAATGTTAAAAAATTTGATTTGAACAAACAAAAATAAATTTACAATTAAACATAAATATGTTTGAAAGACCATCAAAGAGCTTCTAATTAAATCTCCGGCATTAATATCTCAGCCTTTGAGTTGAGTACATTTAACTTGGCTTGATGCTTTACGGGTTGGATAAGTCAGAATTATTTGCATGTCCTATAAAACTGGTTGCACGGCGGGTTCAGCTGTGGGTCGCGGTGACAGCACAGCTTGATTTTCTGTCACTTTTTGCACACTGAAGGTTATTTTAGGTCTTTCTGGCTTTGATCTGTGCAAGAGTGACCTCTTCTCTTAGCAGCAAAGGGCAAATCTAGTTAATCACAAAGATGCATGTGCAGAAAATACTGAAGTGAAAAATAAGTGTTAGTGGTGTTTGCAACTGTGTTGAAATGAAAGGCGAGCTTCCTCTTTAGGTAAAAACACAATCATCTCCATTTGCTGTGTAACTTTTTCCTGCCTTTGCCGCACTCGGAGCAGGAACGGAAGCAGGTGGGAGTTCCTTCAGGTAATCGTGTCTCTTATACCGGCAGCTGGACAGCTGCTTGATGTTTTCAGGGAGGACGGCTCTGGCCCGAAAAGTCTCCATCTCCTGTTGGGCGGAGAGGGTGGTGCTGATGCTTCGGGAGGGTGTGTGTGAGACGTCACGAGATTCCCTTTCAGCCAAAGCCTTTAATAAATCTGATATCTGAGGAAAGAACAGGGGTTCTCACGTTTTCTCCAGATAACGTGTTGCATTTGCAGAAAGCGGTGAAACACTCTCACACACACACAAACACACACCCAACATCTTATCCATTATCTAACCGCAAAGACCACCTGCAAGCTTCTGAGGGCGTAGAATTAAAACACATAGCACACACTTCATAAAGCGATAATGACAGATCTACATTTTCAGAATAAAAGTCCTGAACATGAACGTTACCTTTAGACCATGAAACTCTCTGCTATCAGAACCTCCGTCCTCGCTTGCGTCGCTCATGACCTCCTCTCCCAAAAACAAACCCTTTCCTAAAGTCAAACAACACACTGCCAGCTGATCACTTTCAATTAGCGGTTATTCAAACAATCACAGCGACCGCGCCGTCTCCATGGCAACAGGTCAAGGTCCTAGAAGCAAGCGGAGACACAAAACAGCAGACACGTGGCCTCTTAAAGCCATTTATTCTTTTTATGTACACGGACATATTGCACAGTTTAAAAGTCTTAAGGGCACTCAGATCTAAACACTCCCGGCTTTGATGCAGCAAGAAAAGAAAAAACCAGATCTACATGAGGACTTTGTGTTTTGTGCGTTATTTACGTTTGTGCGTATGAGTCGTTCAAGGATTTTACATTTTCTACATAAATACACATTTACCAAGTTAAACAAGCCCCCGGGTTTGTCCGTGATACCGGACTGGACCCCAGCGCAGCACACAGCTGGTGTTGACCTGGTGGATAAATTCAAACCTGCTAACAGAATTCTTCCTAGCATCGTGACTCTTCCGTTTCACCTGTCGGACTCAGAGAGCATCTTTACGCCGTGTTAGTTTCTTCTGCATGAATGGTGTTGGACTTGACAACCACGAGAAGTTATCTTTAAACTGATTTTAAACTAGATTCAGCTGCAGGTTGCGTTAAACTCGCCCACCATGCATGAACACGCTGGTTTTCCCCGGTCTGTTGATGCGAGCGGCCTGCAGGAAGTCAGGTGTGCCGACATCTCTAACGGTTTCCTCACATCCAGCTTCCTCGTCAGCAGTCTCTCTGGTGTTGAAGAGGAGAAGGGGTTTGGAGCAGGGACGGAGGCTTAGATGTTGAAGCTTTCTCCACAGCCACACGTGCCTTTGATGTTAGGGTTGTTGAAGACAAATTCACTGGATAGTTTAGACTCCACAAAGTCCATCTCAGTTCCCAGGAGGGTGAGCTGCGCCTTCTTCTCGATAAACACTCTCACGCCTGAGAAGATGCACAACAGAACCAGGATTTTACACCGAGGGTGTGAAGACGAGCATCCCATAATAATATCTAACCTAAGAAAATACCAAGATTTAAACAAGCTTGTCCTTGCAGCTGAAATCTGAGCATTCATGGTCAAAAATAAAATCACACACCATCCTGTAGGACTTCCTCGTCTGACTTCTCCTTGTCCTTCGTGTACTCGAGTGTGTAAGTCAGCCCGTTACAGCCGCGGGTTCTCACTCCAACCTTCAAACCAATCTATGGATAACAGAAAAAGACACATCAACATCCGGTACTGAGATTAAATCAAAACCTAAAGGATATTCCAACGAATGTTTAGTCTGATAAAAGCACTAAACTAGAAATATTCGTGTGTCTGCTAATATTTGCAGTTTCACGAAGAAAAGATAAAGCTTTGTAGTTGTCTAAAAGGGAACTTTATTCTACAGCCCAGTAACCAATCAGCTGTCAGGAATGCTTAGATCTTTACTTACAGGCCAAGTGCACTCATGTTCCACTCATCTGCAGCGGCCTCTAGCATAAACCAAAGCCTTGTGAAATAGTCTCTACAGAAACAAGCTCTGATGCTCCCGTTTCAGGAAGTACAGATCAGTGGGAGGAGATGGGAGCAGAAAACGGCAGGATTTGGAGTCTTACTCATGTTATTTCAGGATATTCAGACATCTCGCATCTGACTGGCGAACAGCAACGCCACTCGACCACTGACTTGGTTTGCTTTGCAACAATGGATGTTTCATCTCCACTAATAACACAAGTATGAAGGAGTTCCGCCATGTTGTGGAGTTGCTAATGCTAAAGGTTAGCTTCTACTAGCTACACTTTACTCTCTCCTGGACGCTAAATCAACAACAGCCTTCCTCGTCAAGATGGGTGAGTTCATGAATGTTGATGTGTCGTAGATCTGACTGGCTTCTCTATTCCAAGTGTCTCCCTGTATACTTTCCATCGGCAGCTAATGTGGGAACTAGGGGTAGAAGACTATTTTGACGTTCAGCCTGCACGTTAACCTCAGAATGACTGATTGTATTTCACAAAACTGGCTTTTCATTGAACTTGCCCTTTAAGATATTCACTGCCTAAAAACAGGGTATCTGCAAGTTTAAGGGAGCCAAATTTAAGACCTTTTAAGACCTTTTTTAAGGCCACTTTGACCCAATTTAAGCTATTTTTTTAATTAAATTTAAGCTATAATGTCCAGCTATTGCCTGGAACCGGTGCTAACCACGTCGTGAACGTGGGATTAGCCATCCAGTTACCATTAATGTTGCACTTCCCCATGGCGCAAGCTCCCGCTAGCTTAACCAGCTAATGTGCTCATCTAAAAACAGCCCCCTTTCACAACCAGCTGAATGTGTACGGTTCCGCTTACGCCAACTTCGTACACAAAAAATGCTGAACTAGAAATTCACGAAAATTTTATAGAAATAAAAGAATTTTGTTTAATGGGTCTTTGGTAATTTAAGACCTTTGGAAACTATTTAAGGATTATTTGTCATTTTTAAGGATTATTAAGGCCTTAAATTTGGAAAAGCAAATTTAAGACTTCTTAAGACTTTTTAAGGACCCGCAGATACCCTGTAAAAAATGATCTTAAATTTTCTTTTCTTATGCATTTTACAATATCCATGTGGTTTTTATTAAAAGTGTCAATAAGTTGGACTCAAACATCACAGTAAAAACAAACTGTCCTCCAAATGAACTTCAGTGACTTTTAATAACTCACATATTCTGGTTTGTCCTGAAGCAGCGATCTGATTTTGCTCACAGCTGCTGGAGACTAAAGAAGAAAGAAGAAAGTTAATCCAAAGTTTTAAACCAAGCTTCAGAGTGAAGTGGATTCAAAACGAAGCTTTTTAAACCTGAAAAATCTGTAACTGTATGTGACAAACGTCAGGAAGAAACAGGAACATAGCAACAAAATGTGTTGTAATGGATGGTGTTTTGGTCCCTTTCACACATGTGATGCAGAGGCTCTGTAGCTGGTCTGAAACTGAAGTTTAATAAAAAATAAATAAATAAAAAACTTGGAATTATAGTTGCAAAGAGAAAAAGAAAGGTTCGGCTGCAGCTGGAAGGCATTTGAGAGCGATACTTGGCTTCAAAGTGTTAATCCCTATGAGATTAGCATTTAACGTCTAATGTGCTGCATAAATAAAAATTGTTTTTTCTTTTGTCTTAAGTTGAAATTTAATGTGTGTAAAATAAATGAAAGAAATCCAACAGAAGTGGTGTTACAAACACGATCCCTGTCGGTAATTACAAAAGAACGACCCTGACCCCTTCTGTCAGCTGTCCCCTGCTGTGTGTGGAGTCACGTCTCATTACGTAGTCCTTCCTTCAGCATACTACTGTTATCAGCTCCGGCCACTACATAAACACATTATCTCACAGCAGCAGAGTCCGTCAGCTTAAATTCCTCATCAGCACTTTTTCAAACCGCCCACCTGTTAACAACAAAGTGAGTGGACTGACAGCTCACACTGTTTACTGAATAAGCTGTCATAATATTATCAATGCATTTTAGTTGAGACAGAAATTAGATGTGAAATGCCTCAAAGGGGCAAAATTCTGTTTAATTCAGCTGTCTTCATTTGATTTAGTGTTAATTTAATATAACCGAAGACTGGTCAAAAACTGAGTAACATTGCTTTAACATAAACTATTTTAATGCTGATCATTTTAGTCTACAATTTATTAGGTAAAACCTATAAATTAGTATATGCTTGCACTTGTTTTAAATAATCAAGGCCATATCAATAGCACAATACCTTTTTTCAACAAAAGTTGTGCATAATGAATGTCAAATGCTACATTTATAATTTGTAGTTAATTATTTATCAATCAAAGTTATAGCTCGCTGTGCAGCATAGCTGCTGCAAAACAGGTGTCAGCTGACACTATTTTCTTTAAAAGCACATGAAAAACGACTGTGCAATTTTATTTGTACTGAAGGAAACGAGAGATACCGTTCCTGCCGCGCGCTAGGCAGGGCTTTCCCTTGTGAGATGTTTGTTTACAGTCTGTAGAAATGACGATGTTCTCTTTCTGACCGAACCTCAGCTTCGTTAGCGTTCTTGCATTATTTTGGTTCTAATACTAAAGTTAAAATCAGCAGCAATTTACTGCATGGTGGCGCAGTTGGGCCGCATGGTGGCGCAGTGGTTAGCACTGTTGCCTCGCAGCACGAAGGTTGCAGGTTCGAAACTCGGCTGCGGCCTTTCTGCGTGGAGTTGCGTGTTCTCCCCCTCACCTCCGGGTACTCCGGTTTCCCCCACAGATCACAACATGCCCTATAGGTTATAGATTGTAAGTCGCTTTGGATAAAAGCGTCTGCTAAATAAATACATAAACATAAATTCAACTGTCACACTTATGAAAGCTGTCTAATATGCGTTTAATCTAAAATAAATCCTTAACCATAACAAGAAAATGTACTATGACAGGCAGGAAGTACGCACTACGTAGACGTTAGAACAGGATTGTTAGCTAGCTAACTGACTTAGCCAAGGTACACAATTAGTAGCACTAGATCGTGGATGCTGGATAAATACCGCACCTTTGAAACATATACGTACAAAGATTAAATGTAAATTATTTTCATATTTTATTAAAAGGATGAACTTACGAGCGTTAGAGCGGCTCTTGTAGGTAATATCTTTCTTTTATTGACCGCTCTGACGGTCGCTCGAACCAAGGAGGCAGACATGTTTACTGTTAAAATCATAACATAGAATTGCGCATGCGTGAGACCAAACTGGTAACGCCTCCTTGAAGCCAGTCGATCGGTGATTGGCTGATATTTTGATAGACATGTGAAACAGCAAATGAGATAACGAATGAACGTCTCGCCCCTCTTTTGTTATATAACCTTTTTATTACACTTGTGTTTACAAAGTCGTTCTTCTCACTTAGTTAACGGCAGCCCTGTGTATTTGTTTTTTTTTTAAACTATTTAACGATTCCACCTTATCTTTAAAACGTTGACAGCAGACTACTTTCTCTTTGTATTTTTAAGCCATATGGCACACACTGTTTTGGACTTTATGTTCCCGTTGCCTCCTAATTATTCCTCAGTCACACCCCGCCCCCCTCCAAAAAACAGAGGAAGGCATCTTCAAAACGTGCCAGGATTCTTTTCATTAACAGCTTTTTATTTAAAAGTTTCTCTCGAAATATCTTTCCTAGAATTTTCATATTATTTCAGGAAAAATGTGAATGGAACCAACTCAGCAATCTAATAAATAAACAATTATCTTGCTAAATCTTCTAAAATATTCCCTAATTGCTTTAAATTGCATTAATTGCTTTAAATGACTGATATATATATATATATATATATATATATATATATATATATATATATATATATATATATATATATATATACATACATATATGTGTGTGTGTGTGTGTGTGTGTGTGTGTGTGTATGTGTGTGTGTGTGTGTGTGTGTGTGTGTGTGTATATGTGTGTGTGTGTGTGTGTGTGTGTGTGTGTGTGGGTGTGTGTGTGTATATATATGTGTGTGTGTGTGTGTGTGTGTGTATGTATTTTATATATATATATATATATATATATATAGATAGATAGATAGATAGATAGATAGATAGATAGATAGATAGATAGATAGATAGATAGATAGATAGATAGATAGATAGATAGATAGATAGATAGATAGATAGATAGATAGATAGATAGATAGATAGATAGATAGATAGATAGATGATAGATAGATAGATAGATAGATAGATAGATGATAGATAGATAGATAGATAGATAGATAGATAGATAGATAGATAGATAGATAGATAGATAGATAGATAGATAGATAGATAGATAGATAGATAGATAGATAGATAGATAGATAGATGATAGATAGATAGATAGATAGATAGATGATAGATAGATAGATAGATAGATAGATAGATAGATAGATAGATAGATAGATAGATAGATAGATAGATAGATAGATAGATGATAGATAGATAGATAGATAGATAGATAGATGATAGATAGATAGATAGATAGATAGATAGATAGATAGATAGATAGATAGATAGATAGATAGATAGATAGATAGATAGATAGATAGATAGATAGATAGATAGATAGAATTGTTTGTCCTGTGTGTCTCTGTGTTGCCCTGCGATGGACTGGCTCTCTGTCCGGCGTGTACCCCGCCTGATTGCCCATTGACCGCTGGAGATAGGCACCAGGCACCTATACTATCCTCCCTCACAGAGTGGTGTGCAAATTGTCAGATCTGGGACTCCCCCACCCCACTTCTGCTTGGATAACGTACTACCCATCGACATACAGTATAGGTACTACCTGGCGGATCGCAAACAAAGGGCCAGGGTGGGCCCTAACATCTCCTCAGCTACCATCGGTAGCACTGGCTCCCGCCAGGGCCGCGTGCTGAGCCCCCTGCTCTTTACATTGTACACCCATGACTGTGTACCCACCCATAACAGCAACATCATTGTGAAATTCACAGATGACACTACTGTGGTGGGGCTCATATTGGGGGAGAAGAGTCTGCCTACAGGCACGAATTGGAGGTGCTGACAGTGTGGTGCACAGACAATGACCTGCTCCTGAACACAGCAAAGACCAAGGAGAAAAAGAAAACTGACATCATCCCACTTTTCATCAACAGAAACTTCGTGGAGAGTGTCTGTCTTCCGCTTCCTGGGTGTACACATTACTGATGATCGGTCTTGGGGTGTGAACACAACAGAGAAGGCTCAGATGAGACTTTACTCATTATCTCCCCAAAACGGCTGGTGTCCTTCTATCACTGTTCCATAGAGAGCATCCTGTGCTACTGCCTCTGTGTGTGGTTCTCCAGTTGCACATCAGCACAGAGGAAGTCACTTCAGAGGATCGTGGAGACCGCCCAGCAGTTCATCGGCTGTTGTTTATCCTCTTTGGATGAACTACACAGCTTTCGCTGCCTCTTCCTGCTCATGATTTGTTCCAACTGCTGCCATCAGGCAAAAGACACAGGAGCATAAAAGCTAGGACAAGCAGTCTATACAGCAGTTTTAATTCTGTGGCCATCGAGGCACTGAATGGCAATCAAGCCCCGTTCTTTTGAATTCCACTTCATGTGCAATATAAAAGACCTTGTGCAATATTATGTACATATTGTTAGCTCACCTTTCACACCTAGTCAAGGTGAAATGACTATGCGCAAAGGTTTCATCATGTGCAATACTGTTTCTCTTATTCTATTTTTACATGTTTTTTTAATATCTTTTATCTAAATTATTTTTAAATACAATTTTGAACACAGGGACTGCATCTAATGTCGTACTTGTTGCAATGACAAAGGATTTTCTATTCTATATTCTATATAAAAAGTTTAATAAATTACAAATCTAATAAATACAGTAACTGTAAAATGTGGCTAACTGGACACAAGCTTGTATTATCTGGAACACACCTGGAGATGTCTGTTCTGAACTGATGATGTGTTAAGTGTAGCTGTCAGTTGTTTGTTTATTTCAAACACTTTGAAGAATTTCCAGCAGGGGGCACTGTTGTCTAATCAGTAGCTGACTGATGCACCTTCTTCACCCCTCTTGCTCTCCCCACCTATTTATTCCACCTTCCTCAGGATCCACTGATTTCCCTCTTTCCTATTCACTCTCTCTCTCTCTTTACATTTTTTAATCACAATTTCCTATTTTTGCTCATTTTAAATATATTTTTCAACATTTTCTAAATGCTTTTTTATATTTTTTGTTTTTGTGAAGCGCCTCGTGATTTTTATCATGAGAGGCGCTATAGAAATGATGTTTTCCTCTTCTGATCCTGTGTGAAACCAGAAGTTGCTCAGTAGTTCATAGGAAACACGGCTGTGTTGGCAAAGAAAAACTTTCTGCAAGGAAACACGCCCTGGCTGAGCTAGGAGACTGAACTTTGCCTCAAACAAACCATCAGAATGGAGGTGCATGTTTAACAAATGTTTGGACATTAATATTGAGTTTATTTTGGCCGTGCACTGATGCATGTTGGTTGGTTTATGTGCCCAGCCCAGAGATTCTGTATTGTGTGACACAGTATTCCAATAGGATCTGATATTTGCAGCCCCTGCTGGGAAGCGGAGCAAGGTGTATGATTTACTGCTCCTGTGATTAAGATGTGTGTTTTGTTTTGGGGTTGCCGTAACCATTGATCATTTAACCGTTTGTACAGTTTTCACGGTCTGATGGTTGACCTCATCAACAGGAGAAATTTCAGATGAACTGAAATAAAATCTCTGCACCAGTCGAGGCTCTCTCATCGCTTTCCCCTTCCTTCAATCTTGGGACTACATTCAGATTAAAAGGGAAAACTTCATTTGAAATAGAAAATATTGCCAAACATTCATTACAAAATATTTCACTAATAAAAATTTCAAACATTTGCCCTGAGCATATAAAAATTATTTAAAGAGCAAGTCACCCCCAAATCATTTTTTCTTCTGATAAACTATAAAAATGTGTGTCTAATCGTGCTGCAGACACGTGTAGTCAATAGTTTAACACGTTAGTGAATTTTAGTTCAAATTTAAATTTTCTGCCTAAAGCTGTCAGTGTTGAGCCGTTGTCAGGTTAAAACTCTGCACTGCATTTGAATTTAAATCTGCCATCGCTATTGGCTAAGAAGTACTCTAGAACGTTAGCTGGTACCATATGATGTCACAATGGCCGTGGTCGAGCTGAGCTGCGCCTCGCCTGGAAAACAGACGAGAGCAGATGGAAGCAGCAGGGGGAGTGGCTGAAAGCCGGCGTTTACGTCGGACAGATTTCCTGCATGTGTAGCTCGTGGGTGACGATGACTGAAGATATCACGTTAGCGTTCACATTTGTTTAATTCTGGTGCCTGTTAGCAGCTGAAACACATCCTCACGTGCTTGTGGATATCAAATATTGTATATGAAGACATGACTGTAGTAATAAGTAAAGGTTATCAGCTGTAGCTTCAGTGTGCTCATAGGAAACGTGACAAAACAACACAAAACACATTTATCTTTATGGCCTATATAGTTGTCATCATCAACGTAGCATGATTTACAGAATACATGTGAACAACTAACATTTCATGTTCTACCACCGGATGTTTGGATCAGAATATGAACCAATCAGATCTTAGATCAGGTGAGAGCCAGGCGTTTCCCGTCATCCTCTAGGTTTTGCAGCCGAGGGAGAGCAACTGCAGCGCCTTGCTCCAAAATCTGCGGCCGCCTTGATCTCACGAGGTTATCGTTGCCTACGTATGCATGACGTCAGAGCAAGTCGGCGTCAAGTCGGACACAAATCTAACCGACATGCACTGCTCGCCGATCACCGCTGGTCTAATCTGTGCAGAACTGGCTCATCTCGAACACAGTCAATGGCTCGAATACAGCCAATGCCATTGTGAGCCTGTGTGTGTGTATTTGTTAGCGGCTCCGCCCTCTCGGTCTGCTAGGCAACAGCATTTGTGTAGCCTAGTGAACGAGACCAAATTCTTGCTTTGCAAAGTTTGGTCTAGGCACGCTCCACTGGAACCTCCGCAGCTCCTACCAGGACTCTGGCTAACCAATCACAGCTCTCTAGAGGGGTTTCAAACACATAAAGAGCTGTGATTGGTCCATAATGGTGGGCCAATCATAGTGCTCTATCTGCTTAGTGAACAAATCAGAGAGCTTTATCCGCTTTGTGGGCCAATCAGGGCACTCTATATGCCTGGTGGGTGGGATGATGCAACAGAGTGAAACAAGAGGATGTCACATTCATTGTCCAGTGGAATGCGGAGATCACTTGAAAGACAACGGTAGAACCCGCCCCACAACCGAGAGCCGTCAATGGAGCGTGGAGCCAGGCTAGCATTTGTTGCATTTTTCAAACAGGAAGTGGGAGCGGAGTAATACTCTGGTAGGGGGTGACTTGCTCTTTAAGGCATAGGTGCCCAAAAGCAAATAAAATCAAAAAGAAATGTGATGCATCTTCTCAGAAGTCAGCAAAACGTAGTTCTGACTACATATTCAGATTTAGAAAGGCAACTTTTTAAATGTGTTTTGTAAAAAAGCACAAAGAAACCACTCTACACTGGGACTTTTGAGTTTTAATATTTTGGAGACAAAATGGACTGAAAGCTGGTCTGGCAGAAACAATATCCGTTATCATCAGTTTCAGTTTAGTCAATCAAAACAAGTTAGGCTGGCGTTAAAATAAAATCACTTTAAAATAGGAAATCTCCTCACTAGGCCAACAATGTTTTTTTTCTATAAAATTCAACAAAACCAGCTGAACAATCATGGCGGCGTGTCCATCACTGAAACACAGAACAGGTCTTACAGACATGACAAGCAGCAACATAATTCAAGGGCATGAATCCTCACAGTGCAGCTACCAATGTGTTGCATCATTACAATAAAATTACACGATTTACAAGTTTCAAACGTTTGCAGCATCATATGCCAACATCTTACCAGTGTAGTTTGAAATACTTTACTAAAACGTGTTTTTGCACCGTCATCACAACGTGTCCTAGCGTGGAGGAACGGTCAGAAGAGGAGGTCCTGCTGAGGGCGAGCGAGCGGAGCAGGCTCCGAATAAAATTAAGTTCAATGAAAACAAAAAAAAGAACCTCCTCTACTAAACACAACACTGCTTACTTTAAGGAAGCTGAGATAATGGACGTAAGTGCTGGGAAATTAGATTAAAAAGCATATTTCCTAAAAGCATCACAACCACAACAAAAGGCTCACTGCCGTTCACACCTTCTGGTGTTTTTCTTAAAGCGTCCGGATCCCTTGGGAAAGACAAGGCTCTAAAACTCCCGCCGTCTTCCTGTTCGGATGTGGCGGACCACTGTAGATGCTACTTTAAAGCATGAAGTTAAAACCATCTTCAATCTGGTGTTGAGTTTCCTAAAGTTTTAGTTGTGAGGATTAAAATTGGGCTTCAGGGGTAAATAATTATAAAATGGTTATGCGTGTAAACAAAGACGCTGGACGCATGCAAAATGGCTCGTCTTTGTAAAACTGCAGCTTAAAAAAGGCTCTGATGCAGAGAACTGCAGGGTGGTAGGGGGAGATGAATACACACACACACACACACACACACACACACACACACACACACACACACACACACACACACACACACACACACACACACACACAAAGGCCCTATTTGGCTTCAAGTCATGGTGCCCAGGCTTTGGCTTGTACAGGGCTCCCTCTGGCCAATCAGAACCACTCAGATAAAAGGTTGAACTGGACTGTGGACGCAGTCTGCACAGACACCAGTACAATCCTGAGATCTGGAGCTCCTCATTCCACTGGGCTGTTCTTGTGGCCAGGCCGAGTCACGTTTCTGCAGGCTAGACTACCTGAGGCACAGCAGAAAGACACAAATGAGTCCCTCCCCAAGAATGTGAAGGAATGTAGGTAGGAATAACTTTACGACCACGTGAAACACGTGCGGCAGGTTTTGTTGAAAGAAAAATGTTCTTTTAAATTTAAATACCTGCTTGTGGACTTAGTATCACGTTTTGTTGCTTTCTTCCCCTCTTCTCCTCCTGCGGGGTTAGGCCCTGAGGAGATGGCAGGACAGAGTTTTAGCTCTATAACGCAGTGCTCTACCACATTAAAAGCTCATCTTTAACTCATTCACTGCATGTTTTTACTGTGTGGGCGTCGGACGAGCCCCCGCACCGTGAGAACAAACATCCCAGCTCTAAAGCCGATCTTCATCCGCGTACGCCACACGTGATCAGGAAGCAGAACATCCACGTGTTAGGAGATCGTTTAGGGCCGCTGCTGTAAAAAAAAGTGAGGCGCGAACCGGGGCTGGGCGACATGGCCTCAAATCTATATTGCGATATAATCTGAAGCATGTGCGGTAACAATATATATTGCGATTTATTTTTTCCTCTTTATATAAATGTCAAAATGGCGTGCTTTTAAATATCCTCCTGTGGCAAATATATGCCACCTGAGGCATTTGGCCTCCTCCTCCGCCCACTCCACGCTTGCAGTCACTCCATTCTGTTGTCCCAATGTCAGCAGGGTGCACATCTTAGTGACGTCATGTGTTATTGCGACATCGAGGTATTGCGATATAGCCAAAAACTCTATCATTACCCAATTTTATATCGTTTCTACCTCATATCGCTTATACTGCCCACCCCTAGCACGAACCGGAAAAGCGTCTGCTGATCACAATTCAACAACGGATTATGAAAGGATAACGCTCGAAACGCGCGGATTCTTCCTGATGTAAGAGGTGAGTCTCCGCCTTGTTTTGGCGTCGACATCATCCTAGCGCGCAACGTTCTGTGACTCTTAAACAGTTTAGACGGTGAGAAACGCCGGCAGCGAAAGAGTTAAACATCGTTTTGTTACTCAGAGTAAACAGACCTGCTTCTCCTTCTCTCTCAGGTTCTTTGCCTGGGCCGCAGTGGGGGGGGCGAACCTTTCCATTTTGACATTTCCTACAGAACGGCAGATAAAAATAAACAGTAGTAACACGTTTATAACCGTGATGAGTGATGAGTCAGCTGCCAGAGGGGAAAAGGAAGCCACCTTTCTGGAAGCCTGCAGGGACTCTGTTGAGCTGGCAGTCCCTCTTGATGTGGGACGCTGATCCACACAGGAAGCAGCAGCGCGTCTCCGCCGGATCCCTCTTCCTCCAGGGTTCGTTCTTGGGTCGGACCGGATCTTTGCCCTCTTCTCCTGAGTCTTGAACATTCTCTGAATCCCTTCTGTGCCTGGCCCTAGAACGAAAACAGGCTTGTCGTACAGCACAGACGACATTTGGGTCAGGAACTCTTAGCTGAGCGGTGCGACTCACTTCCTACGCATGGGACAGTCCTTCACGTAATGGCCGATCTTCCCACAGATGCGGCAGCAGCGATCGTTGGGAGCCAGTTCTCCCCCCGTCAGGACTTCAGTGTCAAAGAAATACTCCTGCAACAAACTACAGCATCAAGATCTGAATAAAACACGACCATTTAGGCCAGGGGTCTGCGACCTTTTGGAGAAAGGGAGCTACTTTTACACCATGAAAGAACAGAAGAGCTACAGCCACACGATACTTTCCATGAGTGAATGTGCTAACTATGTTAAAAATGCTATGCTTACTATAGTAACATGCATTCACACATTGCTTTATCTGTACTTCAGTACATCAATACTGTAAAATAAAAGTAAAACAGTCACATTCCAACTCAAACTAAACTAAACATGGATACTTTCAGATAATAAAACACAAAGCTACTCTGTGTGAATGACCTGACGTCCGTTTGAGCCAACAGCAGCTAACCTGTTCAGTCTGAACCTGCGCCCTGAGCAGAACGGTCCATTTTTTATAGTATTCAGTAACTTTGTCATACATGATCAAACACTCCCCAAAACTATAGAATTTAGTACAAAACCTTTACGTAATTGTTATGTTATGATTGTTTTTCCAAACACGTAACACAAAAATTCTCATAAAAGAAATAAAGCTGAAGATACTTTAAATAAAAGACGAGCTAAATGTGATGAAAACACAAAATTCTAAATAGTCTGAAGTAAAAAAAAGTCTTTTCATCATTTTTTGCTCATTGTACACCCTGAACAGAGAGCCAGTCCATCGCAGGGCAACACACACACACACACACACACACACACACACACACACACACACACACACACACACACACACACACCTAAGGACAATTTGGACAGACCAATCAACCTAACAGTCATGTTTTTGGACTGTGGGAGGAAGCCGGAGAACCCGGAGAGAACCCACGCATGCACAGGGAGAACATGCTAACTCCATGCAGAAAGATCCCAGGCCGGGAAGCGAACCCAGGACCTCCTCGCTGCAAGGCAACAGCTCTAACCACTGCGCCACTGCGCAGCCCATCAGCTGAAGTAGTTGAGGGAAACTTGTTGAAACTAAATCACAGATGTCCAGAAAGTTGGAAGCCTGTCTTCATAAACGAACGGCATTTCCTTTGCGTTAACAAGCAATTCCTGCAGAAAGGACTTGGCTGTTGCCCAGATCGTTTTACTGAGGATGTTCAGCAGCTCAGCATCAGACTCCTTAAACCCGACCCAGGTCTGTATCACCAACATCACCCCATCTTCTTTACAAGCACGTCCTCATCCACCTGCTCCAGCTGCAGCCGCTGCGTTCAAAGTTGACAGCAATGGGGATCCGTGCTGCAACGAATCTGCGTATTTCCAGTCGTGCAGACTTGAACACATTTGCCAAAAGATTTGAGCAATAATCAGTTTTTTTATTACATCCAAAAATAGCAAATTTTAGACAAAATGCCTTCAAATTTAAAAGCTGTCCCTCGTTATTTGGGCATTTTTGTAGTCAGGCGGGAGGGCTCACTGGCTACTAAGCCTCCAGGCAAGCAACTTTGAGCTACTGGCAGCTGGCAGCGACGTGTTGGAGCAGGGTATCTGCAGGTTTAAGGGAACCAAATTTAAGACTTTTTAAGACCTTTTTTAAGGCCACTTTGACCCAATTTAAGCAATTTTTAAAAATTAAATTTAAGCTATAATTTCCAGCTATTGCCTGGAACCGGTGCTAACCATGTCGCAAAGGTGGGATTAACCATCCAGTTACCATTAAACTTGCACTTCCCCATGGCGCAAGCTCCCACTAGCTTAACCAGCTAATGTGCTCATCTAAAAATAGCCCCCTCTCACAACCAGCTGAATGTGTACGGTTCCGCTTACGCCAACGTCATACACAAAAAATGCTTTACTAGGAATTCGCAAAATTTTAATAGAAATAAAAGAATCTAGTTTATTGCGTCTTTGGTAATTTAAGACCTTTGGAAACTGTATTTAAGGATTATCTGTCATTTTTAAGGATTTTTAAGGTCTTAAATTTGGAAAAGCAAATTTAAGACTTTTTAAGACTTTTTAAGGACCCGCGGATGCCCTGTGGACACGCCTGGTCTAGACAACAGAACAAGAACTAACCATAGCACTTGGAGCGATTGGAAGCTGCATTTTCACCGGTGTACCAAACAGCCTTCTGCCGTTGATGAAAGCCTTCATGATGAAGTTCGTCACTGTTTAATGAGGATAAAAGTCACATGAGAGGATTTAAACCACATTTAATATGTTCAAGTAAAGAAAACCATCGTACTTTTTCTGGACAGACCAGCACCCAAGTTATGATTCAGGTCAAACGGATCTGCAGTAACAACATAAACAGTAAAACACTTTAAATCCAGGCGAAGATCTACTAAAGCACTTCAACTAAAGAGTTTAACGATGAGATCAACTGACCTTCTATGACGATGTATTTGGACGTCCACTGTTTGTTGAAGGTGGTGAGGCGTGCGTGCTGTCGGACACACACGACGTGCTCTTTGAAGTCAAAGTCCTCGGTGTAGAAGCGGAGCAGGCCGAGCCACAGCTCCCCAACCGTCTCAGTGTTCTTCCCGTGCTCTGGCCAGACGCTGGGCTGCAGCAGGTGGACAGACGAGCACGAAGGGTCAGTGCTGCAAACACTCTCACAATAACGCTTCTGCAAGAGTGTGCACACAAATTATACTCACTAATGCTTTTAAATCATCGTGAAAGTACACGTTCCAACCATCAACGAGCACTTTGGGTTTCTTCTTTCCATCATAGATCTGCAACAATCCACTCAGTAGTTACTCACAACAGCAGCATTTTACATTAAAAATCAATTAAACCTAGCAATAAATTAACATTTGTAGTTTGAGAAAGCACATTTATCCTGTACGCATGGTCTGTACCTCTTGTAGGACAGGTATGACTGGCGGGTTTCTCTGCTGGAGGAAGAACAGCACCATGAGGGTGTACGCGTAGGAAGACAGGCTGCCACGGGAGGCATCCCCGATGTCGCACGTCTGTAATCAAAAGGGTGAAAACAACATTTCATACAATAAAAACACATCCTGAAGATTTAGGGTTGAAAATAATGATCACCTTTGCAAAAATCTTCATGGCGTAGCAGAGGACCTTCACTCTGGTGTCTATGGCGGCGTAGGTGGCTAACAAGTGAGTGTTATGCAGGCCCTGAAGCAAAAACAGGGTGGTGTAATATTACTAAACAAGGGAAAACTCACTTTGAAAGTGAAGATAATCGGTTGTTTTTACAAGAAAAAACAATGATGACCAGTACCAGCGTGTTATAGAGGCTGATGTCTCCCTCCAGGCCCGTGAACCGATGGAAGAACTTCACAATCGGTACTTTAGCTGTTGTGATAGGAAGGATGTTTCTCAGGGCTGAAAACAGAGAAATTATTTCGTCATTCCGTACCGAGGAGAGTCTCAGACACAGAGCGGCTCTTCCGCTGTCCTCGCTGGACTCGGAGATCACAAAATCCCTCCACAGGTCATGATTTGTTTCTGTCATCCACCATCGAACCAAGAGAAGGAGGTCATGTTTGATGTCGTGTTTAATATTGTTCCTCCCCACTGAAAACACATTGCTGCCCTTCTTGAAAGACGCTGGTAGTGAATGAGCCGTTAAGTCTCGTGCACTGACAGAATATCTATAGGTAAGAAAAGCATCTGCAACAGTTTATATTTGCATGTGTGTTTCCTGTCTAGCCCTGTGGTAACCGTGGAAACGGATGTGTCCCAGAAGCGGCTTAGAACCCAATCCACTCTTTATGATAAATTACCCGCACTTGTACAGCGCCTCTCAGAGTCAGGACTCCAAAGCGCTTTACGCTACAGGGTATCATTCATCCATTCATACACTGGTGGGGATGAGCTACGATGTAGCCACAGCTGCTCTGGGGCGCACTGACAGAGGCGCCACCGGTCCCTCCGACCACCACCAGCAGGCAACGTGGGTTAAGTGTCTTGCCCAAGGACACAACAGCAGAATTCTCTGTCCGGAGCCGGGATCGAACCTGCAACCTTCCGGTTACTGGACAACCCGCTCCACCTGTTGAGCTGCTGCTGCCCTTAATGGGAATTTATGAGGGTTTTGAAGAGCGCTGCTCAGCCTGAAACAGTTGTGTGCAGCGTGGTTCTGGTTCCACGCCAGCTTCATGACAGAAACTGGGTGCGCCCGTCATCGGTGTGTGGGGGAGGAAGGAGGGGACCCACGGCACTCCTGGGGGGAGGGGGGTGCGCGATTTGTACTCATGACAAAATAACATGAGGTGATCAGTAAACGGTGTACGGCAGCCTCTATGCTCCACAGAAATGAAACTCGGCTGAAAAAGGGTGGCGTTGCTGGACATTTTTATGGTCTGAACCAGGAAATGGCTGCAGGCACTGAAGCAGAAGGCAGAAGACTCCAGCGCAACCAGTGACTCTGCCCCCTAGCCAATCAGCAGCCACTGTCACGACAAAGCCCGACTCAGCCTTGCCAGGCACCTCAACGGAGCAGGGACTAGAAACAGGGGAGAAAACCGAACCGTGCCCGTGGAAACTGGTCGGGCCGAGCTGCACGGGTCCGTGTTTTCCCGAGTAGAGCTCCTGGAAGAGCAGCTTTAGTGGCACGGCGAGACGCTTCTTGGACGCGCTTGAAATGTTTCGCGCCGTGTCAAGCTCGGATTTGAGTAACCCCGGCTTTCCACCGGAGCCGTCAGCAGCACGTTACTGCAGCAGCACGTCATAGCTGCTGATAGGAACCGCTGTGGTCAACAGAACCTTTTCTACCGGAGCCGTCAGCAGCGCGAGTCGGCCGCGTCTCAGGAGCAGCATGTCGCGGCCTTTACGCGCCGGTTCTATTTTCTACGCGCGACGCCTCTGAAACGGGTCAAGTTCGACATTTTTGGGGAAGGAAAGACAGGAAATCGGACGCGGAAATGGAGAGAAGCTCCCGAGATTTTCAGAATAAAGAACGTACTGCCTTCCGGTTGCTTTACTTTAAAAAAGGTTACTAACTGTGCGTCCACGTGAGAAGTCATCACCTAGCTAGCGGTCTCCTTTGTTTTTCAGGTCCGTATTGGCGATTATAAAACGGACAGAACATAAAACACAAGCCATGTTGTAATTTTCTCCTGCTTGTTGTTGTGTTTACTGACGAAGTCACTCGTGTGACTTCGTGCTCGGTCGGTGACAGCTGCTCCCCTGCTGCTTGGCGTCTCGTGGGAAGGGCCAAGCAGCAGCTTACGCGAGCAAGACGTGCTGCTGGCGGCTCCCGTGGAAACCCGGGGTAAGTCATCAACATCTGGTTGTGCTCAGACTGACTCTTAAAGCGGTGATGGTGAGATCAGCGGTGGTGTACCTGGGTGTTTCTTCAGATGTCTTGCCAGACCTTTAATAATATTGGTGCAGTCAAGATTCTGTCAAATAAAAGACACAGCATCACAAAAATGACTAAAAACCGAACGAGAAAGCAGCTCGGATGAACGCGTACGTACATAACTGATAGTTAAGATGAAAAACTGTGACCAGATTTTCTTAATGCTTACAAAAACATCACGGAGGCTAATGCAACAGAATAAACGTGTGACTTACATGCAAGTTATCCCGTCCCTCCAGCACCATGCAGATGTCCAGGTCACTCATCCTGAAGCCAAAGCCGTTCTTGGAAGAGCCAAACAGTCGGAGCCGAGCCCCTGTAACGCCAGAGAGGACGGGAAGTTGGTTTGTGTGGGCTGGTCGAAACCCAGTTCTCCTTCATACCAAATAACGGGAATCTAATAATAAATAATCACCAGAAAACTGTTTTCTGACAAATGCCTCCAAGTCTTGAAGGATGGACTCTTTAACATTCTGTTCCAGGTCATCTGGGGAAAAGTCGGCTAATAAAAAGGAAACATTGCAATTTAGAAAAGATATTTGATAAATAAACCATCAATCACAGCTTATTAAAGCTTATTAAAGTGTTTCTGTGATATAAATGCCGGTTACTGTGGCGTTACTCACTGTAGCATCGCCCGCAGACGCTGCTGAGGACCCTGAGAAACTCTGGCGTCATTGGGGGCAGCGGCTCCAGCTCCACCTTCCTAAAGTCCTCAGGGCAGTCTTTCTTCAGATGTCCATCCCGCTTGCACAAGCTGCACACGACTGTGTGAGACTAGAAAACATTATAGGTTTAATTTTCTTTAAAAGTCTAAAGTGTTTTTAAATAAGTGGGTGAGCTACCTTCCCCCGGGTGAAGGCCTGCCGGGTGAACTCAAACGCCGATCGGGTTTGTTTCGGGGGGTTTTCTTCTTCAGGTCTTTTCTTTGAAGGTCCAGGTGACTCTCGATCAGGTTGCAGCTCCACCTCCACCTCCTCCTCCTCCTCCAACGATCCAGGAGTGTCCAGATCTGGAGCCTCTTCATCTGACAAAAGGTCCTCCCCTGAGATCTCATCAACCAGGAAAATGTCTTCCTCCTCCGTGGTGAAGCTGTCCAAGTGCTGTCGACCGTGTGTGTCAACAACTACATCCTCCTCCTCATCATCATCATCTTCTTCTTCTTCAGAGAGACTGCTCTTGCCTGGGTCCACCTTTTCCTTCTCTCGCTCTTCGTCAGAGTCAAGACATTCCTCAACTTCCTCTTCATCCTCAATGATGCAGTCTGAGTCAGCAGGGCCGTCCTCCACAGCGGGACTGGTGTGTTTTGGCTGAAGGGAGAGCCGGCTGAAGCCTGACAGACGGGCTGGATCTTCACGCAGAGCATCGGGCTTTGCTCCTGGAGTCTGGCCCTGCTGGCTTTCTCTCTCGCGGTGAGCAGCAGGTGTGTTGGGTGGAAGTGCAAAATACTTGTATGTACTTTTAAGACAGTGGAAGATGTAGTCATACATTTGCTGGCTGCTCAAAGAGCGAGCCACATTCCTCTTCACAGCAAACGGGTCTAAAGAACAGGAATGTTTCCGGGAGTTAGGCCACATCTAAAGCATATTTATGCTAAATTCAAAGGTTCAAACTGGGGGCAGGCAGCATGTGGAGACTTTAAAACCAAGTTCACTCGTTCGTTTTCAACACATCCCTAGCATAACTGAATGCCTTGTGAGCGAATCTCGGTGGGAAAAAAGCTCTGGCGCTCCTGTTTCAGAAAGCAGTAGTGAACCAGATGAGCGGTGAGCTTCAGACGGGAGGTTCTGGGTCCATTTAATCAGGCAACTCTCGTCTCTGATTGGATAACAGCAATGCGACTCTACCAATGACTCAGTTTGCGTTGCAGCATTGATGTTTTATCGAGTCTGGAGGAGTTCTGCCGTGTTGTGAAGTCTCTAATGCTAACGGTTAGCTTCTATTAGCCAAGACATGTGTGAGTCCATGAGTGCTAACTCACAGTGTGATGTAGATCAGACAGGCTTCTCTAATCTGAGCATTTCTCAATCTGTTTTCTATCAGCGGCTAATGCAGGAAACAGGGATAGAAGACTACTTTCCCATTCGGCCTGAATGTTAAAACTCAGAGTGACCGATCACATGTAAACAATAACAAGTAAACAACAATTTCTCAGTGAACTTGGTCTTTAAAGAGCAAGTCACCTAAACTATATAAATGTGTGTCTAATCGTGCTGCAGACACGTGTAGTCAGTAGTTTTACACTTTAGTGCATCTTAGTTCAAATTAAAATGTCCTGCCTAAAACTGTCACTGTTGTTTTGAGCCTGTGTGTGTGTGTATTTGTTAGCGGCTCCGCCCTCTCGGTCTGCTAGGTGACAGCATTTGTTGCATTTTTCAAACAGGAAGTGGAAGTGGAGTAAGACTCTAGTAGGGGGGTGACTTGCTCTTTAAAGTCACTCTTTACCAGAGTCTTACTCAACTCCCACTTCCTGTTTGAAAAATGCAACAAATGTTGTTGCCTAGCAGACCGAGAGGGCGGAGCCGCTAACAAATACACACACACACAGGCTCACAACAACACTGTGACATCATATGGTACCAGCTAACGTTCTAGGGTACCTCTTAGCCAATAGCGGTGGCAGATTTAAATTCAAACGCAGTGCAGAGTTTTTACCCGACGACGGCACAACACTGACAGTTTTAGGCAGGACATTTTAATTTGAACTAAGATGCACTAAAGTGTAAAACTACTGACTACACGTGTCTGCAGCACGATTAGACACACATTTATATCGTTTACCAGGAAAAAAAGCTGATTTGGGGGTGACTTGCTCTTTAAGTAAAAGTAAATGTCAAGGCAGGTCCAACACAAGTCAGGGGAGTAAAACTAGCCAAACAAATGCATCAAAACAATAAAAATATTTATTTTCTAATAAGGGGTGGGGGTGATTTCTGACCTTCAACAGCGATGCGTCTTTTTGGCCAATCTTTGATGTCTCGAGAGAGGATGGCACCAGTTCTCACACTGATTACGTAGTCGTCCATTTTAAACTCCAGAGAGTAGAAACGCAGCATTTCAATCCAGAGACGTCCGACTTCCACTGCTGGATGAGGGTTGGGAAACACCAGTGGGACCTGCAGATCCATAACCTCTCTCATGACATCATCTGACATGAGTATTTGGTGTGTGCTTTCGTTCTCACTAACTGACTCAGTATTTTCTAATAAAACATTTTTTGTAGCTTAAAACACGTTTTATCCCCGGTAAACAGATCCTCTCCATCAAATAAACACCTTGCACTTGTCTTCATGTGGAGAAACAATCTTTATAATTACCTCCCCGTCTAAACAGGAGCTCCCAGCCTGCTGCGGTGGTTCTTTGGAGGAAGGTGTGTAGCTCCAGTGTAAATATCCCTCCTCTACACGTGTGAGATTGAAGTCTGACAGCTTGCTGAGACAAAAAACCTTCAGCTGAAGACAATCAGATACTTGGGTTAGTCTCTGCTGAGAGCAAATAGCTACATTTAAACGTCTGCTGCAGGTTTTATTCGTTTCACACGCGAGATGAAAGGAAATACGCACCTCCTGGTTCAAGTACGTAGGCAAAATAGGCTCTTTGCGCTTCTGTAGGAAGAAGATGACCATAAGAGCAAAGACGTACGTAGGCAGCCCCCCTTCCTCGGCACGGTCAATCTCACAGATCTAGGTAAGAGGAGAAATAAACAATAAAAGAAGAGTGCAGGTTTGGTCAAAAGGAAAATACGCTTGATTTTGAACAGTTTTTATTTATTTTTTTGCAAATATAAGAAAAAGGAAAAATACCTGAGCCCAACGTCTGAGGCCCACCACCAGAGAGTGGAGAAGAGGCTCCCGATCAGCAAGGGCAGACAGGTAGGCGGTGGTCTGAAAGGCGTTTTCATTTCCTGCACTCACTTTGCAGATCAGGCCACTGCGGACGCAAATCCTAAACCTCACCACATTTTACTCAGACCTACTCCATACTTAGAAACACGTTTAAACAAAATGTTAGATATATTAAATTATGATGAAGATTAAATCCACTCCGGTTTACCGGATTTAAGAGACTCAGTGGATGATCTGTTAACTTCTACCAACCTCCTTTTCTCTGTACAGATGACCACTGGTAGCCTGGCATGGAAATCAGCTTCTACATCGATAAAAAGGGCTAAACACGACAAAAATGTGTCAAATAGAAACCTTTAACTGGCTGCCAAATGATCGCTCCTCTTTTATTAAAAACAACAATAGCACACGACTCACGGCTCACAGAGAGGCACTCCTTGACCAACAACAGGACATCTGGCTGATGCATCTATGAAAAAATATCATTTCAAAGTTTTCATACATGTGTCATATGGAACAAAACACATAAAAATCATGTTTTCTACAAGAAAAACACCCACAAAGCCCCGCTGACTCACGTGAGGTGGATGCTGAATGTCTATGTTGACGTCAGAATCCTTAAATCCAAACTTGGTGCAAGATGAGCCGTACAGCCTGAGCCTTATTTCTGCCAACGACAGAAGTAAACCTCATGAGCTGTTCAGCACAGTCACCTTTCAATCATCTCACATCTTACCAGGTAGGACGGAGAGAAGAAGGTCTTGCATGAGGGAGACAACACGTTGTCTCATTTCAACATCCTGGTCGTTCAGCCCATGTTCCTGAACCACCGTCTCTAGTGCAGCGCTCACTGCACTGATCTGCTCAGGACCAGGAGGCTGGATCTCAGTCAGCATCAGCTGTTCCTGCTTCTCCTACAAGCACAAAAACTGTAGACCATTACTCCACAACAATCCTCTAACAACACTTTAAACCTAAAAACGACGACAGCAACAACTAAAAAAATCTCACCCGAGCCTTCTTCTTGTGCCGTTTGTCTCTGATGTGCTTGTAAGCACGAGGTATGGAGTCCAGCGTGACATCGCATAGAGCACAGGTGTACAACGCTCCAGGGTTGCCGTTTGGCTTCTGAAATGAAATTAGAAACAAAATATAAATAAATCACAATGTCAAAAGGAAAATGTGGATTATTAAAATGTTCTCAAATAATTTGAATATTGTGTCACAAAAGAGTCTAATTTTGAGAGAATAGCACAAACATCGAGACGATACCCTCTTCAGGAAGTAGACCTCTTCCTTTAAAAGCTGCTTCTCTGCTTGCCGGACAGTTTGCCGGTCTTCAAACGAGCTTGGGGACTCTTCGATTGCTAGGCTCCTGTCCTCTTCAGCTAAAGTGTTCTTTGTGTTTTTGCTTCTCCGTCTTTTTCCTTCAAAACGAGGTCATGTCAGTGAGCAGAATCTTAATAAAAGGAGCACAGTCATGGGCTCGACACGCGGGAGGCCACATCGCCTCTCCTCCATTCATTTTCAATGAGCCATGCGCGACAAAGCGATGATCGCGGGTCTCCCTCCTACCAGGCAAAATGTGAAAAACGTGCGTGTGAAATGTTGCACTCGTGCACGTGTCGTGCACAGGCGACCCAGCGACACGATCCCAGAAAGTTGAAACATTTTCAACTTTTCATCGCTGTCGCTCGGACGAGGACCAATCAGCGGAGGTTTCATTCACTGACCAACGAGCGGACAGGATGCTCCGTACATCTCCGAGCAAACATGGAGGAGAAGATGATTATTATTATGTTTTATAGTAAAATCAGAAGTAAGATTTCACATAACTCTAGCAGCACCTTGTGAAACATCATATCTACCGCTTTATTAACTCTGAACCGCTTAAATAACCTTGATTCCCTCCAACCTGACACAGCCAATCAAAACAACGCAAGTTTGGATTTCGCCATGGAACAGAACGCGTAGACGGCTTTGCCGCTGGCCGCTGCCGCGGGTCGCCTCCCGTGTGTCAGGTAATAAAGGCGACGGCGACAAATATCGCTGATCGCGATCGTTTGTCGCCTCCCGTGTGTCGAGCCCATTAGTCGATGCAGGCTGATTAAATCAATACTTTTTCAAGATCATTACATTTTTTCCCTCTTGGTATTTTTTACAGATATCTCACTCAATTTGCCTACAACTAGTTCTCCAGATCCTCACCTTGTTTATGAGCATTAGCAGCATCTCTTCGTCCCTGGTCCATGTTCTCTGTGAGCCCTTCTCCTTGAGCGGTCCTTCTCCAGGGCTGCTGTGTGCGCCCTCTCCAGTTATCCTCTTGATTCAAATAGCTGTTCTCAAAACCAGTGAACCACTGGTCATCTCTCTGTGAGGGGCTGTGATCGCCTCTGTATCCACCAGGTGAGTAGCTCAGAGGTCCAAGCCCTCCCTTTTTAGGGCTTGCTTTATAGGGTGCACCCTGGTTCTTCTTCCCCTGTTGACCTCCTTCAGGTCTCATGTTCTGTCCTCGAAACTGGTCATTCGTTCTCCAGTTTTCTGCCTTGCCTGCTGCTGCAGCTCCCCTCTCCCAGTTCCCTTGCTTTGTCCTGTACGGCCTGCCTGCGTTGTCCATACTGATTGTTCTAAGCCTGCTAAATGAAAGATACAGATAAAGTTGATAAGTTTCTATGTACAGAAAACTCTGGAACAAACAACTTTTAACAAACACATCTAGACCAACCGTAGCTAAGTTGCTGCTGTTATCTTTTTAAAGAGCAAGTCACCCCCATATCAACTTTTTTTTCTGATAAACTATATAAATGTGTGTCTAATCGTGCTGCAGACACGTGTAGTCAGTAGTTTTGCACTTTAGTGCAATTTAGTTACAATTAAAATGTTCTGCCTAAAACTGTCAGTGTTGTGCCGTTGTCAGGTAAAAATTCTGCACTGCATTTGAATTTAAATCTGCCATCGCTATTGGCTAAGAGGTACCCTAGAATGTTAGCTGGTACCATATGATTAGGGATGGGTACCTTTGACATTTGAATGGATTCTGTACTAATTCCCGGTGCCTAGGAATCGAAAACGGTACTTAACGGTACCAATTTTAGATACTTTTATGTGTTTAACATTTTAATTCTCTTTTATAATAAAATATATATTTTTCTCAATATATAACAATATTTGATAAATATCAGGATAAATAACATACAACTGTTTGTATTTTAACATCGTCCTTGTAGTTTTATAAGCTGATAATTAAACTGAAGCAAACATCTTTACTGTGAACTAAATTTACTGTGTATCTTCATTCCTTTTGCCGTCCTTTTTCATTTGATTGTTCCTACTGGGAAGTTAGAATTTCCGAGGAGAAAGCGAACGCACCATTAGCTGATAACAATGGTGGCAATGGAAGCTAATATATCAAGCTAACGTTATCTTAAACAGTTTATTTAGCTGCTGGAGCAGATTTAAACGATGATGCCTCACACTTAGATCGTTGTCGCTGGTTTCCTCTTCACCCAATCACCCGTTGCATTTAGTAAAGCTAAGCCAAACTTTAGAGCGCGATCATGTTCTTCTAGTCAAAAATTCAGAGTTCCGAGGAGAAAGCGAACGCACCATTAGCGGAACAGAAGCTAATATATCAAGCTAACATTATCTTAAACATTTTATTTACCTACCGGAGCAGATTAAGAAGAGGATGTCTCACTTAGACCGTTGTTGCTTGTTTCATCATCACCCAGTTACCCATCACATTTAGTGAAGTGGACCCAAGCTTTAGCGTGCGTTCTTTCTACCATGCTGCTCTGTTTACAACACGCTCTCAGCGAGCGACGACATAACGCTCTTGCACATGCGCAGCTGTCTAGGCAAGTTCTCATTATGAAGGACGGGTACCGAAACGAGGCACCGTTTCAAATGACGTGACTCGGTGTTCAGTCGGTACTGTGGAATTCGGTCGGTACCTTAAAAAGTACCGAATTCGGTACCCATCACTGGATATGATGTAACAATATCGTTGTGAGCCTGTGTGTGTATGTGTGTATTTGTTAGCGACTCCGCCCTCTCGGGCTGCTAGGCAACAGCATTTGTTGCATTTTTCAAACAGGAAGTGGGAGAGGAGTAATACTCTAGTAGGGATGACTTGCCCTTTAAAGTCTTGCAGTAAGACAAATTTGAGCAAGATGTGTTTGGATCTACCAAGTCCAAGTTACGTAACACAAACAGGATTTTCAGACACAGTCTCTCTTTGTTTTTTAAAAACAAAATAAATTTCGTGTATTGATCGCTGAAAGCACATTTTGAATTGATTGGATCTTTTCAAACACCTAAACTACAGTTTCTAGAAGTAAATAAAACTCCGTTTTAAGACACGCCTGTTAAAACAGCTGATGTGTTACGTATTTTTATCTTCCACATAACCAGCTGACAACTGTCATCTAACATTAACAGCAATAAAATCTTACTGCAATGGACGCTGACGTGTATCAGTTTAAATCTGACGGAGTGCAACAATAAACAAATACAGATTACATGGCTGTTTCTTATCATACTAACATGTCAAACTGTAATATACGCCTACTTAATTTCCTAACACGTTTTAGACGAACTAGCCGCTGAAGTTACGTAGCTAACTGTAACGTAAGTCATTGACGTACCTGTTTAGGGTTGTTAGCTTTAGCTAGCTTAGAAGCAGTCTGATACCCCTACTAATAACAATACGTGTTCTGCTTCGTCGTTGTAACGTTTAACAGTGTTGTCACACATTAATAAATCATACGAGTCTTGCTCGCCCGTTTTACCGCTAACTTCTGCCTCTGCCGCATAGAAACAACAACGCTAAAGTTAGCCGCTATTATTTAGCTTGCTACTTAAGACGCCTAGGCTAGGGCTAGCATTAGCATCTTCCTACAAAGCTTCACCACTGCTACTTTTACATTTTCTGTTGAGCTGTTTGAACTTCAGCTACTCTCGGGCTTTGCGTGAAGTTACGAGCCAGATTTATCCATCCACAAAGTTATTAAAATACCTTTAGTACGCGGAGGTTGTTCATCTTCTCTTCTGGAGTTTAGAAGATAACGCAAAGTGCTGCCTGGCTGTGTGTGATCATGAGCGTTACAAGTTCCGCCTACAGTAAAATAAAATGAAAACTGTAAATCGCACAACAAGACAAACTATCATTAAACATTATGTAAAGAAAGTTTAACTTTGATCAAAATGTCATTTATTCTCCCTCTTATCACATATTTAAAATAGCCTATTTCTGTTTTTTTAATAAAAACGTATTCACATTTACAATATCATATTAATGAACATTTTATTATTACAGATCATTTTTCACATATAACACAATAATGCATCTAGTGAACCAACCTAGATTTTCCAACACACACAGCAAAGTTAATGTTTGAAAGGCCTTTGTCTGACTATGCATCTATGAAGCAGCAATCCTGCTGTTTGTTAATTAAAATCTGCACGGGATAATGAGCTCCGGTTGCCAGGGGTTACAGGAGAAAGCTGAGCTGCGCGAGCGGGGGAGACCCCGGGAAAAGTGACGTCAGTTTGCAGAACTCTTGTCTGAACGGGACAGCTGCTGGAGGGCCGAGACGCAGCTTGTTGGGTCTGGACGCAAAGGCTCTGCATGAACACAGATTGGGTAATTTTTGAAGGGCGACAGGTTCCGAAGCTGCTTCCAGAAAGAGACGGAAGCGCTGCGCATCTCCAGCGGTATAAGCTCCCCTCACACCGCCTCGGCCGCGGCGCGCGCCTCGGCGCAGGAAACAGAGACTCATGACCAAACTCTGCGACTCCGGGTTTGAGGAAGATTTGGTTTCCTCTCCGGTTTTATCACGCAGAACGCGAGCAGACGCTTCCCACCCCGGGTCAGAGGAACCAGAACCTGCAGCAAGACAGCTGTGCAACTGGTACCTTCAGTATGGAGACGTGGGTTTCAAGATCCAGAAAGAGAAGGAGCTGCTGTTTCATCCCTGCAAAAGTCTGGCTCGCCAACCACAAGTAGGCTCGAGATTACACTGAAACGTATTTTAAATTGAAAACAGGATATCAGGTGTAAACATGTGTCTTGTTGTTTGTTTAACTAGATAAAACATTTAAATGCATTATTTTTTCATTCAACTGCTGTGTAAAACACCTGTGCATTTGGAGATGCTGGAACCAACGTGAACAGTTAACAGATGCTATTTCCAGTATTAGTCAACTTTAACATTTTTCTCCTACCTGCAGCTGACCCCAGATGCTCGCTGTAAACTGGTCAGCTGGCTCATTCCCATACACAAACACTTCCGGTTGTCCTTTGAGTGCAGCTGCCTGACGGTGAACATCATGGACCGGTTCCTGGCTTCCACTCCCATTGCTGCTGACTGCTTCCAGCTCCTGGGTGTCGCTGCACTCCTCCTGGCCTGCAAGCAGGTCTGTATTCAGACACACATGAGGAGAAGACTTTGATTCCAGTTATTGTAAGTTTTCTCTCTGCAGGTGGAGGTGTGCTCTCCGTCAGTCAGTCACCTCTTGTCGTTGTGCTGCGATGCTTTCACAAAGGAGCAATTCTTCAACCTGGAATGTCTCATCCTCCTCCGCCTTAACTTTCGACTCTCTGCACCTACCTTGGCCTTTTTTCTGAACTATTTCACAAACTGTATTGATGCTCGGCTTGTTATGAAGAACAATAGCAACAAAAGTGTTTTAAAAGAGAATTCAGGTGCAGCAAAGACCAAACCGTGCAGGAATCTTGCACAAAAGATGTGTGAACTGACACTAGCAGACTACGCTTTTAACAAATACCCACCGTCTCTGACAGCATGCTGTGCTCTAATAACAGCCTGTGAGTTACTGAAAACTGAACGCACAACCCTGCAGCTGCAGGAAACCCATTTGGATACACATAGTGCACAATTAGTTTCTGTCCAAGAGAGCTCAGCGTGTCCAGAAGCTGATTCTTTGGGAGAGATGGAGCATTTCCTGTTTCCAGATGAGGGAGGTTACAGCTACACTCTGGTCCAGGAGTGCAAAAGCAACCTAAAGCTGCTGGTGTCACTGAACCTGGGAACTCTGGAGTGGATGTCAGCCATGTAACTCAGCGATGTCCAGACTTTTCAAGAAGAGGGCCAAAAATCATCAAGTTGATGGTCCTCGTGAGCCAAAATTTAGGTTTTTTTTTTTTTTTCATTAAAAAATGTTAAAAAAAATTTTTTAATCCAATCCAAGTTTATTTAAATAGCACATTTATCAACAGCATGACAGCTGACGAAAGTGCTGGGCATCAAATAATAAGAGACTAAAATTAAAATAGATGAGTCAAGAGTTGAAATTAGCAGTGTAACACCACATAAAGGAATAAAAGGTAAAAGATGAAAAATTAAAACATGAGTAAATACAAAATATATAAAACAACATAAAAGAGGATAAAACCTAACAATCAGTCCTGTTCAAAAGATCAAGTACCAGAATTGATGGGTAATGGGTTTTTAGGCCAGATTTAAACAAATCGACAGATAATTGAAGTGAATTTTAACACAGTTTACTCTTAAAATAGGTCCACAATAGACACATTAGTGACAGTTTGGACACAAACACGTTAGAAGGAATAAATCTACATCAACAGCCTGCTGGGGAAACAAAATTCATCATCCTAGAATAAGGGGCCACACAAAGTTACATAGAGGGCCGCAAATGGCCCCTGGGCCAGACTTCAGACATTCCTACCTGAACAGCCCTGATCATGAGAGTGATGTTAAAAGGAAAACACCTCACATAGTCAGATGTTTGCAAATAGTTTTCCTAAGTCTTGTGATTGTATTTATTTATGTTCGTGACTGTGATGTTTTGAATTTAAATATAGTGTGTTATTTATTGTTTATTAAATAAACGGTTTACTAAATAATTTGCACTTCTTTTTCATTTGTGCCACAAATTAAGTTCTAGGAGTTTTGATGATAGAAAGTGATCAAATAATAATAATATACTCATTAAGAGAGCTATAAACCACTCCAAGGCCTTTGACAGCAGCAGAGACTGACACTTATCTCGCCCCAGAGGCAGTGTTTATGGCTGGCTGTATTTAAACCAAACTGTGCCAACAGGGCTGATCACAAGTGTCAGCTCGACCTGCATTTCATGGTCCATAAGGAGGACGTTTGTTTGTTTACCAATGGAGGTGTCTGTCATTACAGAGCTTTCTGCTGCCAAAGGCGGTTTCTTAGGTATTTTCTTGTAGCGACAAGCTTCGGTTTGGTTCCAGTGCATTTTACGCACGAATGGATAGAAATTACGCACGGCCCTTGAACATATCAGATACAAAAGACAAATTCAAGTGTGTAATTCTATTGATACAGCCATAAAAAATTATTTTTGACTTCAACAAAAAGCAGCGAAATGTTTAGTTTTGGCGCAGCTGGGGGGGGGGGGGGTGTTTACACCTGCTGCCGCGATGGCGCCGTTATGCGCGGCACCACTTTTCCCACTTCTGACACCCCCCAAAAAGCAGCAGTTTCATCTCAGAGGACGCTGTCACTCCATGGAGACCGAATAATTGTGTCTGATTGGGCCAAAAGTGTGGAACCGCGGCATGAAGAGAAACAAACCGGGAGAATGTGGACCTTATCAGCCTGAAACCAAACCAAATCCCCTCAGATCCGCAGAGAAGACTGATGGAGATGCAGAGGGACAGGGACGCGTTTGGTGCCAACCTAATGATACAGGGAAGGAGGAGAGAAACTGTAAGGAAAACAAAGAGAAGTTTCGTCACAAAGCTGAATAAAATAAATAACATTATAATAATTATTCTTTTATAGGGTGAAATCCCTGTTCCAAGAAGCAGCAGTCCGGTTTCTGTTTATGTTGATTTCCCGTGCATCGTTGATCAAGGTAGTCTGCAGACTCTTGGCATAATTTTTTCATTTTCATGTAATAAATTTTAGGCTTTTCTTGCTGTTCTTTGTTCCACAGCCTTTTCAACAGTTGCATGGGGTGATTTAGGCTCTGAGGTGAGACAAGAGAGAGACTCGCTTGGATCTCAGGTGAGCCTTTTTTCTTATTATCAGAGTTTCTGAAATTTTTAATTCCAAACTTTTGCAAAGAGGGGTTTTCTTAAAGAGCAAGTCACCCCCAAATCAACTTTTTTTTCCTGATTATCTATATAAACAAGTGTCTAATCGTGCTGTAGACATGTGCAGTCAATCATTTGGCAATTTAGTGCATCTTAGTTTTAAGCAGAATATTTAAATTTTAACTATCAGTGTTGTGTCGTTGTCAGGTAAAAACCTGCACTACATTTGAATTTAAATCTGCTATCGCTATTGGCTAAGAGGTACACTATGATGTTAGCTGGGACATAATGATGTCACAATGTCGTTGTGAGCCTGCATGTGTGTGTATTTGTTAGTGGCTCCGCCCTCTCAGTCTGCTAGGTGACAGCATTTGCAGCATTTTTCAAACAGGAAGTGGAAGAGGAGTAGGACTCTGCTAGGGGGTGGCTTGCTCTTTAAGTGTCTTAATTTCTGATATGAAATGCAGGCATCCTGCACGAACGAGTGTTTACTCAGTAGGCGCACGCTAATTGGCTGCACCTCATGAGGTTTGCTCACCATTCCCTTTGGCGCTGTGCTCACTTTACGCATAACGTGATATACTCCGGGAAACATGTTTGTCCAACTTGGACTAGGTGTAATTTTTGGGTAAACCCATTGTTTTACTGATTCATTATTTAAAATGCATCAGTTGGGATTGTTTGCATTTGTTTACAGGTGAATGAATCTGACCTAGATGACCAGCACTTTGCAGACTATGCACTAGATTTTATAGCAGGTGAGACATTTTTACAGTGCTCCATTATTTCATCTTTATCATCACGACAAAAATCCTAAAAACTTCCAGTGACTGCATTCCTCGTTCAGATTCTTCCTCTACAGAAAGCAGTCCATCCCCAGTTGAACTGGTGCCATTCCAGGGGTGTATTATACCTCCCCTCACCCCTCAGAGAGACTTCACTCCAGAGGATGGTATGGTCTTCTTATCCACAGAAACAGGCAACCTCAGTGCCCAGGATGGAGCTCTGTGGAGGGGCACAGCAGAGAGCCACCAGAAGGAACTGGGACACTCCGTGATCATTAACAAGCAGGTGAAAACTTGGGATTTTAGACCAGTCTTCTTTATCTTTGGTGTATTTGTTTTATTAATAATAACGGAGTTATAATACAAGTGCTCTTTCATTTAGACAAAAATGTTTGTTCTAAAGGAGACGTATTATGACTTATTTTCTTAAGTTATAATAGTTCTATGGTTGACACAAAACATGTTTTTGAAGTTCAAATCCCTTCACTTAAAGTGACTCAGCAGTTTAATTCTTGACTTTTTCAGTACCTTCCAGAATGAGCCGTTTAAGGGCTCTGTCACTCACACCCACCCATCCCCATCTCAGGCTACTATAAGCTAAGAAGCACCCAGAATTAGGAGGGGCCCTGAGTAGAGCTACTGCTCCTCTAGAGGCAGCTCTTCAATGCAAGTGAGAGGTGGTTCTATTCTAATTTCCCCATTCGTGATGTCACAAACGGGGGCATTTTTAAACAGCTGGTTTTAGACACATACATCATCTGCAAACAGGTGGATTTTTTTCATGTTTGGAGGGTTTATAGAGGCACTAGAGACCCACAGGGCATCCCAAATGATGAGCTTAGCATGCTAAACTTTAGTGAAGGTGTATCACGCAAGGGAAATATCCATAAATGGACATGCAACTGTGTTAAAGTGTTGGTTAAAGTGAAAGGAGAAAGCTCAAACCAGAGAGCTTAACGATGTTTTGGGCCGTGTGTCTGCAGCTCCACGAGACTCTTCAAAAGCAACGGCATGAACTTCACTCCCTTGAAGAAAAGAACCATCACCTGAGGCAGCTGGCCTGTCGAGCAAAGCATCTGGCTTCAGTCCTCGAGGTCCGCGAGACAGAGACAATCTTGTAAGTTTTGTTTTAATCCTCGTATGGAGGTCTAAACATGTATTTCCCTCTGTTTTCTGTTTTCCAGAAGCTGATGACAGCCAGAGATCCACATGCTGGAAAGCCTTTGGGGCCACATGGTGAAAACGCCTCACTGGGTTCCTGTAAGCGTCAGCGGCTGGATGAAGGATATGAAACGGAGTCCTCTGACTCAGTAGAGGACATGCTGAGGGACATCAGCACACGATGCAACGCCTTCCTGCTCAGCAGCGCTGCAGGAGCATCGCTGCAGCAGGAATCAGAGACGATACGCATGCACGGAGCATTCTCCACCCTGCAGATGTCTACGCCTAACGACAGCTCTGAGACTGCTGATCAGGCTGGAGACAGCGTGCCACCTTTCAGAACGTCTGTCAGGGAACACGCCACCATTCAGACTCAGGTCTTCCCTCATGGACATGCGTTCACATCCCGAACTCGGCAGGGTGGATACCGCTTTTGTTGGATTCCAGCTGAAATCAGAGATCGGCAGCAGGAGTCATTCATCTGAGACGTGTGAAGCTGTTTAACTGTTAATCTGTGAATGATTAGATGAGGTTTTCCTCATGAGTTCATCAGTCGCATAGCACTGCCTTCACTGTTGTTTACAGAGTTGTTTACACTGTGGTCCAAAGGTTTCACGACTTTGGAAATAAAACGTTTAAAGACTAAAACTGTGGATTTTTTTCTTTATGAAGAGAAAAAGGTGAAGTTAAATCATTGTTCTTCTCTGACAACCGTCACCCTGTGACCCGATTCAGGGAGAAAACATTTCATTTGCTTTTGTTTGGGTCTGACAGCAGGTCTGCGGCCCACATCACTCATCTTGTCCTTTTGGAGATTTTAAATGGACCATGTTTGTCCAGTTTGTTTGGTTTATTAGCTCATGTTTGTGCTGCAGAAGCAGGGATTATGGCAAGAGTGTTTTTATCCCCAAAACAAATTTTTCTATTTGGAATAAAAACAATTAAACGAGGGGTTGTGACCCTTCTGACCTCAGAGGATTCATCACGTGAGTCCATTAATCCAAATAACAGAGTGGAGCCAGTGAAATCAGACTAGAACTTCCAGAACCCGGACCTGCTTCAGAGGAGAACGTCTGCTGTGCAACGCAGCACAATTATGAGACATTAGTTAAGATGTTGTAATTTAAAGCCTAAAACAACACAACTCAGAAGAACCCGTGGCTCCGGCGTTTGGCAGCCTCGCCTCTGTCAGTGCGTCCCGGAGCAGCTGTGGCTATGTTGTAGCTCATCCCCACCAGCTTGTGAATGTGTGTGTGTGAATGGGTCGCTGTGTTGTGAAGCGCCTTGGGGGGTTGTAGAACCCTAGAAGGCACTATCAGATACAGGAGTCATCTAGAAAATACAATTTCACCTCATAATTAATAATTAGACTAAATAAATGTGTAATGAACTCAGCTTGTGAGATATGATTATGGAGGATCCGTCATAAAAATCACCTGTCGGGTTTTTATTTGACTATAAATGAGAAATTTCACCCGCTTCGTGGAAGATTTGGAGTTTCGACAACAAGATGCATTTCAGAATGAAAAGGATAAAAGAGAGGCCTGACCGGCTGTGAGACAGCCAAACTGCAGACCCAAGCGTTTCCATGGGGACAGAAAGTGTGTGCGTGTGTGTGTGTGTGTGTGTGTGTGTGCGTGTGTGCATTTAAACATGCATGCTGGAATATTTGTTCAATATTTGAATCAAATTACAAGAAAAAAGATTTGAATTTTTAAAACGTCCTCAAGAATTTTGTTTAAAACATTTGAAAAGATCGACGCTTATTTATTTTTTTTATGTTGCCTTTAAACGCATCATCTGGTGTGGCGCGCGCCTGCAGCCTCGCCCGCGGTGTGAAGCCCAGATGGTGACAGGTGGCAAGGTGCGCAAGCTCGCGCCTTTCCGCTCACTTAGCGCCACCGCAGCTCACATAAACATGTGGGTACAAAGACCTGTTGCGCAAACAGGGGGTCTTCATATTTAGACAGAAATGTGTCTTGTTTTATTTTTAAGGTTTAAATGTTTATAAATGCCTTATGGTTCAATTATTGATACTTCCTGTTATAAACGTATTTATTTTAATTCTAAACATATTTGCACAAATAAATACAGAAATAATCTCTTTTCAGTTTTAAACTTTTTAATGCCGTTTTGAAATAAGTTTAAATTTAATAAACTATCATCTTAATCCAAATGAGAGCCAGAAGTGACGCACAGTTCATTAAAGCTTCGCTTCTTTTGTGTTTTTCCCGCACGGTTATTTGTCTCCAGGAAACCATCTCTAAACAGGAGCCATGAAAACAGAACGCTGGCCCTGAGCACCAATGGCAGAGCAGAACCCGGGGCTTCCCGCTCCGCGGGCCGCCCTGCAGGCCTATTTATGAGGAGGACATCAGGTGCGCCACACAGGTACCCGACCCGGGCCGATCTGCTGAAACTGGGCGAAAGCCAAGAGGAAAAGGGCTAAAAAGGAAATTAACAACATGGATGTGCAGCCAAATGGGTAGGTCTGATATAATAGAAATACTTTTAAACAAATGGACAAGTAGATGTTTTTAGCTGCTTCTGCCCAGGAACCATAAATAAAGCTGCATAAAAATAGGATTAAAATATAGGCTATTTATGAAACTGCATTTTTACAGACATGTTTATTCTTGTAATCAGGAGGACTCTGAGACATTATAGATGGAGAAGGAGGAGGTTGTGTCCTTTCAAGGTAAGAGCAAAAATAAAAGGGATAGCAATAAAAATCAAGCAGTACAAATGCATTCTTCGCATCATGCAGGCCTGAGTTGTGACTGGTTGGGAGGCAGTGTAACGTTAGCGGACAAGATTTTTTTTTATCAGCTAACACTGCTCTGCTACTTAAATAGTCTCATGTAACCTCTGTTTGAATATGTCACGTATAGGTGTTTTATTTTGAAGGGATTTCCGATACTTTTGGGTGGTTTGTAGGCAGTGTCTCGTTAGCTGGTTGGTTCTTAATGCACCAGCTTACCTGCTGCTGCCCTCCAACTGCCCATTTAACCCACATCATCAGAAAGGTGTAACGGCACAGACTCAGAAGGTCTTCTGATTAAATCATTTCAAACAAGGGCGGTTCAAGGGGGGTCCAGAGTGGGCCAGTGCCACCCTGACAGGAAGCTTGGACCCCTCCTGCTGAGAGTGGAGCTAAATCATTAAAAAATAAGGATTTTAATTTAGCCTTTATGAACCAAAGCATGAGAATGCATTTATCTGAAAATTTTAACGACAAATATTTTCATGTTGTCAAAAAGATAAATAACTCGGATGATGCCTTTTTGGTGGCAAAACGTTTATAATTTGAAACTAATTGAAAAGCTATCGACAGGGTACCGGCAGGTTTAAGGGAGCCACTTTTAAGACTTTTTAAGACCTTTTTTAAGGCCACTTTGACCAAATTTAAGCAAATTTTAAAATTAAATTTAAGCTATAATTTCCAGCTACTGCCTGGAACCGGTGCTAACCACGTAGCGGACGTGGGATTAGCCATCCAGTTAGCATTAAACTTGCACTTCCCCAAGGCGCAAACTCCCGCTAGCTTAACCAGCTAATGTGCTCATTTAAAAATAGCCCCCTTTCACAACAAACTGAATGTGTACGGTTCCGCTTACGCCAACATCGTACACAAAAAAAAGCTGAAGACTAACTAGAAATTCACAAAAATTTTATAGAAATAAAAGTATCTTGTTTATTAGGTCTTTTGTAATTTAAGACCTTTGGAAACTGTATTTAAGGATTATTTGTCTATTTTAAGGATTTTTAGGGCCTTAAATTTGGAAAAGCCAATTTAAGACTGTTTAAGGACCCGTGGACACCCTGCATCGAGCGCAACTGAATTGCTGTTATTATATAGCTATCTAAAATTTGAAATATTTTAAGGCAACTTTGTAGTTTTTCCCAACAAACATCTTTCTCTAAGCCAGCTGTCTCACTCCAAGGACCGCAAATAGCCCCGAACCGCACTTTGGACATGCCTGACTCAGAATGAGAGATTTATAATAATTTCTTACTTTTGATTTTTAGGTATACTCTTTTATTGTTGAATGGATGAAAGTCTGGGCTCAAATCAGTCAACAGGGAGAGAAAAGTGTTGCTTCAGCTTAAAAAAAGAGGTTGTAAACTTCAGAAAGACACTTAGAAAAAGTAAACATGGCATTTGTAAAAATGGAACACTTCAAATGCTAAACGTTCAGCTGCAGAAGTTGCATGTACAAATCTAACAAACACCCTCTGATCACCCTCACCCGACTCTCACGGAGATGATCCTGCGTGTTTCTGGAGCGACACACCTCCAAATCACACTCACAGATCACGCTTCTTTTATTTCCTGCCCATAAAAGCAGGAAAACCATTTATAAAGTGGCAAAAGGTCCAGTTATGTATCCATCATAGCTCCCCCCGTTTCTTTATGATGATTTCCCGCACCAGAGCGGTGACCTCCTGTCGGATGCTCGCCATGGGCTCATCTGTTTTCCAGAATCGGATCACTTTTCCTTCAGGATTCACCAGAAACTTCCAGAAGTTCCACTTTGGTATTTTTTGCACAGAATCTAAAGAAGAATAAATAAATATGAAGTTATAAATCATGCATTTACTTTGTTTGCATCTAATATTTCCCTCATAAATCATAAAAGGCATCCAGCAGGTCAGTTTAGCACCAAAACTCTTGTTACGAGAACCAGTATATAAATGAAAATAGTGCTAAAAATACTAGATAACCCCATTTCAGTCAGCAGTTTAGCTTACTGATTAAATCATGATTAGTGACAGTAGGTACCACAGAGGAAATGCAGGGATTTCCACTCCCAGTTTTGTCCAGTTTGCACTGATTTGTTACCCCAAGGATCCGGATACAACCATTTTTCTGGGTCTCCTTGCCCAAATTGTTCATGCAAAATATTTATTTATAATTTATGTGCACTTTATCAGAGATAACTCATCTAAATCGCCCCGAGTTTGCACAACTGCATGCACGAAGGCTGCAGAAACTTGCAGACGAGTTGGGGCCTACCTGTGAGGAACCTGAAGGCAGGATCGGCCTCTGAGCCCAGGATTCTGATCTTGCTGAAGAAGGGGAAGGTGACTCCGTAGGTGGACTTGGCGAACGCCTCGATGTCCCTGCTGAGTCCGAGTTCGGTGTCCCCAAACTGTCCACAGGGGAAGGCCAGAACGTTAAAGTGAGACGTGCCCAGCTCCCGGTGCAGCTCCTGCAGAGACTTGTAGTTCGCCTCCGTGTGCTGGCAGTGACTCGCCACGTTTACAACCAAAGATGCCTGGAAAAAACGCACAATTACCACGTGTCTACGCGTTTCACAAAGACGATTCAGGGACAGACGCGCGCAGTTCCTACAGGAATAAAGTTGTTGGATTTATTCTCAGACAGAAAGCAGACAGCTGGTGATGATGTGGACATACTTTTCCTCGGTACTTCTCCAAGGAAACCGTCCTCCCCTTCGCGTCTCTCGCCTCAAAAGAATAAAAGTCCTTTGGTTTTCTGGGTTTTATCAGCTGGGTCTGCAGGAGGAACAAACACCCGACTCCTACTGTCATGCTCAGCAGGACCCTGAACCATCTGGCTCTGGGGTTGGAGGACTTGGTGGGATATCCCCCTAGCGCCTCCATCTTGGAGGAAAAAAAAACATTCAGGAACTTCTGTGGGAAAACCGAGAAAGAAAACTGCTGAAATTTACCCGTAAAAACTAACGAGAACACCGGAAACACGTGCAGCCTTCAAAATAAAATAAATACAAATTGCGCACAAAGCCTATTAGTTAAAATTCCAGTGATGTAATATTTAGCTAAAATGTCAAGAAAATATGTAAATCTTTAAGTTTTATTAAAAAAATATTTAAAAAAAATATATTTATATATTACATATATGATTAATTTATTTAACTTATATTTTATGAACATAGATACCGCTTGAGATGTGTCATCTCATTTTCGGGCGGGTCCTAAGATCATACAACACAACAGCAGATAAGCAGAGTCATTTACATAATCACAACACAATCACTAAATCAAACAATACACACACAAAATTTTTTAAATTAAAAGTCCTGCTAAGCTATATGGTATGATAATAGCATATTTGGAACGTATACTAATATAAGCAGACCCAGAAGGATATCCATATGCAGATGTGTTCAAATTAGGCGGTGATTGCAAAACAATCACAAATATGCAATAAATGCTTGTAAAGACAATTTCTAAATAGATGGATTGAAGAAATTGACCTCAAGATTGGAGGCAAATTATTCCTGTCAGGGGGAGCTTTAACACAAAGGGCATATATATTTACAGAAAGTTATATCGCATGTAAAAGTGTTTATTACATTTCATATGTGACACGCTGACGATTAGTCATTATGGTCGGTCGAACTGATTTGATCAAAAGAACAGAAGACATCATTAATGCCCTAACCACTGACCTGAACAGAATGGCCAGTTGTTGTTTTCAAGTGGCACATAAACCTATAAAATATCTTGATCAGACAAATCTGACATTATATGCACTTATCCAAGTCATGAACATTTTATTTTGAATGTTTTGACCGGAAGCAGGTCGTTTGAACTCGATTTGTGTACAGCAGTGTGTTTCAGAGTTTCTCTGAGTGTGAAAATGGCGTGATTGGACGCTTTTTAACATCTAGATTTTGTTTTTGTATTTTCAAAGGCGACTGAAGTCACGTACAGCCGCTTCAGGAGGCGCATCATCCAAGGCGGTGTCGGTACAGTATCTGCTCGGGTGCAAGATCGGCTCGGGGTCCTTCGACTGCCGATGACGTCAAAGTACGGCAAACCCACTCGGACAAAATACACTACACATCTATACTGTTGGAAAGAATTTAGCAGTTTCGTTATTAAAATAATGTTTCTTAAGACGTAAGTTTGTGTTTATAATAGTATTTGTAAAATAAAACACTATATTTGATTCATGTTGAACTCCTCTTTGAGCACATCCCTTGAAGGATCATAGGTATTAGCAACACCTGTGAAATTGTATTTGCAGGAAAGAAGTGTGTCCCGTTTATTGAAGTATTTGTGTTGAGTTTTTGACGTCTTGTCCATGCGTAGTTCAGTTACGCTCATAGCTGCTAGCCAAAACTCTGGAGTTAAAAGTTTTCTGGCTTTACTAAAATACCTGTCTGTACTTATTTGATTGATGGTAGTTTTACTTTCTATTAGACTCCAAATGTAATCATTTGCCACGTTTCTAATTCATAATTTGTAATAATTTAATCGGCGATATTAGCATTAGCATTCCTATGGGTTTTTCCATGTATATTAGCATTGCGCTAACCACTCGCTGCCAAATTGCAGCCTTTGCCATTAGAAAATCTCCTTTTGTCACATCACAATTTAATTGCACATGCAGTTAATCGTTCAGCCCTAATATACTTGCAGCTCTATGCTAAAAGTGTATTTTCAAAGAGGTAATGATGGATTTCTTTGTAAAAGTTGTCCATCTTTCCAATAGAAAAAATTTGCCTGGACCAACGTCACGTGATAACAACGTTACGTGATTACGTAATTCCGTAAGGTTCATGTTCAGCCAATCAACTACTTAGACGTCATCGGCAGTCGACGGACCCGAGCCGATCTTGCACCCGAGCAGATAATGTACCGACAGCGGCTGTCCAGGAAGTCCTGCTGCCAGTACACCCCTGACCGCTAGGTGGCAGTGTAAGCCAGTCTCTGAGTTTGATTCTGTCTGCCAGCGGTTGGAGCTCGAATCTCCAAGTAAACAGGAGGATAACGCTGGAGGTATTACAAGTTGGGTCAACATGTGAGAAAGTTTCAAAATCAAATTCCTGTCATCAAAAATTTTATAAACTGCAAAAAATAATGATATCATACTCGTGTACTCTGTGCGTGTATTGAATGCAACACATTTTCCCCCCTGAAAACCTAAAAATGTACACGCTTTTTATTTGCAGTGTTATTTAGACAGTCAAATAATGAACAAGTAGCTGTTTAGTGTTTGGTTTTAGACGCATGCTCATTGCTGCTCCTGACTGATTCTTTGTGACACCTTGCTGGAACAGAAGCATCCCCAGCAAAGAGCTGCAGTCAGACACTTCTGTCATCAAACCCATCACAAGCTCACACCATCAGCAGCAGAGGACATTCTGCTATAGAAAAGTTCTACGACCAGGTTTGTATAAGACAGGGATTTTAAAATGATTAAGTCAAGAAAACATTTTTTGTGTCTTACATGATAAAATACCACATTCTGATTACGCTAGGCTCTGAGCATTTTTGACCTGCAGCTACAGTGCAGTGAAAAATGTTTGCCTCCTTACAGATGGCTTGTTTTTATCTTGTCAAACCACTAATTATCTGGGATCAACAGCAATATTAATGAAGCTGAGTTCAGTTTCACCCAGTTCTGATCAGCGTCCTCTTGTAGCTGCTATTCGTTCAGGTGCACGAGCACCTCCCTTAATCACCTAACATCCATAATCCTCCTTTATCATGTTTTCTCCTTGTCATTATTTGAATACATGTTCACAGGCTGCATTTTCCATAAAATGTTTGTTAAAATAATAAAAAAAAACCTGTAGAATGGCCTAGTTGCACAAGATGCTATATTTGATATTTCTGGTTCAACCATATATCAATAAGATGGGTTCTTTCTGCACGAGATGCCTCCACGATTTGCCCAGAATGACCGAGACAGAGGGTGGGAAGCACAGTGGCGGATTTAGCAATTTGGGGGCCCAAGGCGAACACAGACATGGGGCCCCCTTACACAAAATTTTCGACAATCTTATCTTTAACTGGATTTGCGAAACTCTCCCCTCTTCTGACGTGAGTTATTTTCCCTTTTTATTAGATCTCCTCCTTTTTCCTGTCTTTCTCTCCCTTTGAGTGCTTTCTTCTTCCTGTCAGTGCTCCTGTGCTGTTGCCTTTCTTTTTTTTCTTCTGTTTTCCATTTTGGTCTATGTTTTCCTCCTTTAAACATTTTCCATTGTCTTTCCTTTTCTGCTTTCTTTTGATGTTTACATTGAAAAATGACATCACTTTTGGAAGTGGAGGTAAAAGCTAATTCCATGCTTTCGTTCTTTTTAAACACAGAAACAGTTTTGTTTACCTGTTTTGTAGCTAAAGTTTCGCCGACGGCTGCCAGCTTCTTCAGGCTGACGCTGATCTAAAACTGTAGCTACAAAATAGGGTAAACAAATCTGTTTCTGTGTTTAAAAAGAACGAAAGCATGGAATTAGAACCACGACACAGCAAGAACACACCTAAGATGTTCAAAGGAGGTAAAAGCTTTTTTAAAGCAAGCTGCTTCTTTCTCTTATTGGAGCCACTAGGATAACTCCATTTCATGCTTCACGTTTTGACTACCGCTTCGAGTTTGTTACGAACGCCCCCGCCTCTCTTCTTATTATTATTTGTGGTCTTATGGCACTTGGCAAAGAACAATTTGGTGCATTACTGCCACCAAGTGGATTGGAGTGGAATGACTACCAATCACTTCCTGTTTGTGCATCGGCATCTTAAAGGAATAGTGGCATAAACAGAGGGGTGCCAGCAGTCAGGGCTAGGGGGCCCCAGGCGGCCGCCGACCTATGCCTAATGGTAAAACCGCCACTGGGGAGGCAAAATGGCATCTGGGGGGAAAAAATGTATTAACCTGCAAATGACAAAGCAAATCAGAAGGAGTCAGTGTTGTACAAAGACAAAACAGTCACAAATACACACTCACTAATGTCAGCAACAGAGCATTTAAACCAAAATGATTTATTTTGACAGAGAGCTGGGTGGAGCTGGAGAGCTGCAGGTAAAGCTGATGAAGATTCACAGCGAGCTGGTCAACCACTAAAAGGTGATTTCATCATCTGAAAGAAATGTAAAGTGAAACCACCCAAATTCAGACAGGAAACCTTGTTTAGCTTCTGGAGCTGGAGAGGTGACTGACTTTAGTTATCTTTAGTGGGCTAATTATTTAGTATCTTTAGTGGGCTAATTATTTAGTTATCTTTAGTGGGCTAACTATTTAGTTATCTTTAGTGGGCTAATTATTTAGTTATCTTTAGTGGGCTAACTATTTAGTTATCTTTAGTGGGCTAACTATTTAGTTATCTTTAGTGGGCTAATTATTTAGTTATCTTTAGTGGGCTAATTATTTAGTTATCTTTAGTGGGCTAACTATTTAGTTATCTTTAGTGGGCTAACTATTTAGTTATCTTTAGTGGGCTAACTATTTAGTTATCTTTAGTGGGCTAATTATTTAGTTATCTTTAGTGGGCTAATTATTTAGTTATCTTTAGTGGGCTAACTATTTAGTTATCTTTAGTGGGCTAACTATTTAGTTATCTTTAGTGGGCTTATTATTTAGTTATCTTTAGTGGGCTAACTATTTAGTTATCTTTAGTGGGCTAACTATTTAGTTATCTTTAGTGGGCTAATTATTTAGTTATCTTTAGTGGGCTAATTATTTAGTTATCTTTAGTGGGCTAATTATTTAGTTATCTTTAGTGGGCTAATTATTTAGTTATCTTTAGTGGGCTAATTATTTAGTTATCTTTAGTGGGCTAATTATTTAGTTATCTTTAGTGGGCTAATTATTTAGTTATCTTTAGTGGGCTAATTATTTAGTTATCTTTAGTGGGCTAATTATTTAGTTATCTTTAGTGGGCTAATTATTTAGTTATCTTTAGTGGGCTGAACTGTTTAAATCTGTAAAGCGTCTAAAGAAATTCATTGTAAAATAACATCGGCTGTTGGCGACACATCCAGGCTCCTATAATAAGCTGTTGTACTCTGCATTTGCACGTCTCTTTATCACACACACACACACACACACACACACACACACACACACACACACACACACACACACACACACACACACACACACACACACACACACACACACACACACACACACACACACACACACACACACTAATGTTTCATGCATGTCTGCAGCAAATCCACATAAAGAGTTCGATCTTTTTTTTTTAATAAAAGTTTCTCAGTAAAATTATTTCATTTTAGTTGATGTTAATGTAATAACCTCAGCTGAAATAAACATTGTTTTTTATGTTTGCATTTAGATTCTAATGAGAGAAATGATTTACGGCCATTTTCTATTCTGAACGACGTCGGTGAGAGTCTGCAGGGAGATTCGGTGAAGACTTACGGAGCACCGTCTCTGCTGAATGACTACTGTAAGAGGAGCTGCCTTTCATAGAGATCGGAGTTTTTATACACACACGTTTGCATCAATAGTAAGCGTTTAATTCTTAGGAACGTCCCTAAGTCCACTCAAAATTAGAAAAACAGTAGATTTGTCTGTTTTATAAGTTGTATTTATTGACCAGCACAATTTGACTAAAACTGTCAGAAGCCTATTAAAAAGTCCAGCAACACCACCTAGGGAGTTGCACCCTAGGCACTGTTAAAACCTCTAACCTCCGTAGGCCCATTTGCCCAAGATGACACATTTGGTGGTTCCAATCTCCAAATTTATTGACGAGGTTAAAAATAATAAAGATTCTCCGTTTAAGAGAATCAGTTAAAACACCCACAGCTGGAGCTTACCAGATGGGGATTAACTAAAAAGGAGTAGTGGGCATCCCACCGCCACCAGCACACCCATAAACACTCCACACACCTGTGGAAGATGAAAAAACTAAATCCTACCACCAGCAAGAAACAACACGCCACACATGGGAAAGCAGGACGCCACACCAGGGGGATGGGCAAGAGAATGACACAAAACACATACCTGACAGGAGTGACCGCAATCAGCCAGCATAGTTACTACTTCTTCTATGTTTAGGCAGGCTGGACGCCTCAGGGCGTATTGCTGCCACAGCAACACCAAGTCTACAGCCAAACCTAGTTACAGCCCGTCATGGACTCCAGTTGCCCGCAGAAAATGCAACAACGCCCCCACCTTGCACCACTCCACTAGCTCCAGTAATATCAGCAGACTGAACACAGTCCCCCCCCCCAACGCACCCTATAAGCTCCAAACAAAGTCTGCAGCTCCACCGCGTATCGGCGGCACCTCAGAAGAACGTGCCCAACCGTCTCCAGATCTCCACACTAACACCTACCAACGAGACCACAACCATCCGTTCATTGTCATCTGCTTATGTGAGGTCGGGTTGCGCGGGCACCAGCCTAAGAAGAGAGGCCCAGACTTCCCTCTCTCCAGCCGAGAAATATACTCCCTCAAGTGTGTTCTGGGTCTTCCTTTGGATCTTCTACTTGTTGGATGTGCCTGGAAAATCTCACCGGGAAGGTGTCCCGGAGGCATCCTAACCAGGTGCCACATTAATAGGCATGTTTCCATTACCAGAACTCCAGGGTAGTTCCTGGGATGAGGAACTTGACCAGGAGGTAGGAGGTCCCAGTCCTCCTTTCAGACGTCCTAACCCTAACCATCACGTCTGCTCTGGCGGTGAGTGATGTCACTGATCAGCCCCAAAAAGCGCCCAAAGTAACATTAATAATATTAAAGCATTTATTTTATAGAAGCATATCGTAATTTAATCCATTCAGAGGACGAGAGCAGCTCTGAGGTTTTAGAGACAAGCCCGTTAGTTAGGTCTGTGGGGGAATTCCCTGTTTTTTCCAACAGTTGTGGGGGAATTCCACTGAGTTTTCCGGTGCCGGGAGCGACATTTTCAATGCCTTAGGTGCTTTTTTATGCTTCCATTCTGCTGCACCAGCTACTCGTCTAATTTTACTGCTGCCGGTTGTTTTGGACATCTGCTGATGTCATTTCCTACTCAGTTACAAGCAATCAGCGCGTTCCGCTCAGCCACTCCACCGGGCCGTTCGGAGTACCTACTCCAGAGCAGGCACTCAGAAGGAGCCTGAGAACGGCCGTTCGGACGGCTTGGTCGGGTGGAGACACGCGCATGTCGGGAGGTTCCTGTAAATCTACCCTGAAGTTCTTGTAGTGGAAACACGCCTATTGTGGAGGAGCGGCGGCTCTACTCCGAGCCCCTCCTGGGTGACAATGCTTTTCAACCCATTTCTAAGGGAGAGCCCAGACACCCTGCGGAGAAAACACCAACGGTGATGGATGCTGTCGAGCTGAAGAAACGAGTTCTGAGATGCTAAAACATTAAAAGGCTGGAGCAAGTCTGCAACAACCAAACTTTCACTTAATTATGTTTATTGTTGTCACTGGCTTCTGAAAAATGTGCAACTAAACCGAAAAGACAGATATATTTGTGTGTTTATGCAATAATCAGAATCAGTTTCTGCACATGGACCTCCCTTTAGTCCACCTCTTCTTCCATCTCTGTCCGTTCAGACACAGATCTTCTGGACTGCAGCTCTGATGGAGTGATCGCGTTAGCTCTGGGCTCTGCTGTTTACATTTGGAATTCGGTCACCAATCTCCTGGTGGGACACTTAGATCCCGGTGGACCACGCCACAGCGCTCTATCCGTCTCTTGTCTGTGCTGGAGCAGAGATGGAAGAGTGCTCTGCTTTGGGAACAGACGTGGGGAGATAAAGGTTTGGTTTGAACGCGTTTCAGCGGTGATCTGTGGGAGTCTGATCAGCGTGGAAGGTTGTGATGTCTCCTTTTGGTTTTGACTTCTAGCTGTGGGATGTTGACCACAAGCAGAACTTGAGGCATTTTCAGTCCCATCAGTCTTCGGCGACGGCGATTTCCTGGAGCCAGCAGTTACTCAGCAGGTAACAAAGCAGCAAGATTAACTAAAAGTAATGTAGGAATTTGAAGGTATAAGAAGTACGAGCACTCTCTGTTATCCAGAACCGTTACCGGTGTCCCTGATCTCACAGCGGCTCCGCTCTCGGACACGTTCTTCACCTTGACCCTCGGGCTGCTGCTCCTGTCGTAGGGGCGGCCAGGCAGGAGGAGGGGGTGTGCAGCCTGCAGTGGTCTCCGGGAAACGAATGGTTTGCCAGCGGCTCCACAGACGGCCATCTTTGTATCTGGGATGGAGACATCACAGGGGTCAAAAGGTCACACCAACCTATCACAACAATGAAACAACCCAGTGCTGTAAAGGTAACTAAAGAGGGATGGAGATACTGTCCATCAGGAATGTCCGGTGCATCAGGAGCACAACAGGGACTGGTGACTATAGTGGCAGCGTTTGTGTTGTGTCTCCAGGCTCTGGGGTGGTGTCCGTGGCAGAGGAGGGTGATAGCTACAGGTGGCGGATGGAAAGATGGTCAGGTCAGAATCTGGGACGCGCAATCAGGCTCAGGCTTGTCTTCTGTCGAGACACACTCACAGGTAACATCTATCAGAGGGATGATATGTATTGTTGATGAGATGCGTGTATTCCTAACGGCTTCATCTGCAGATCTGTTCTCTTCGATGGGCTGAGAAGAAGAGACACCTGATCACAGGTCACGGCCTGCCGTATCATCAAATCTCCACCTGGAGCTGGGAGTTTCCGTCTCTCAGCCGAATCTACCAACTCACAGGTTAGGAGGAAACATCATCAATGCAGGAGAAGATTCTGTTGGGCACATTTACCACCGGGAGCGACTCGTTCAGTCCTGGTCTTCAGTCAAAACCAAACTATGAAATATCATGAGGCTATTCAGAACGTCAAAATTCAGTGTTTTTAAAATTTATGGTGAATGTAACTGTTTAAATTCCAAATTTAAGAACTTTATTAACCAGAATTGTTTCCCACTTACTCAGTAAATGTAACTACAGAGGACAGGGGCGTGTCGAGGGAGTGGCCTGGGGTAGCACACCCTGGAATCTGATTGGCCACCCCAGGTGCCACCACACTGATTTCCCTTTAAATCAGCTTTTCATTGTCCAAAAAGGCTTGGGGTAAAACAAAAAAACAGCAGAACCATTGGTGCCACCCATGCACAAAGTGTCACGCTGAGCAGGAGGAGGTAGGACCCGAAACGCAGAAGCCCAGAACGACTCGAGGCAGGAGTGGTTCTTAGAAAATGAATTCCTTTTGTCAAAGGAGGGTGAACAAAAATCCAAAGGCGCAAAACCAAGCTTAATCTCCAGAAACACAGAAGACCAAGAAACAAAACAGAAACTCAGTTATGAGCACGAACCTGGAGAAATTTCAAGAGACAAAACAACAATGGACCGACTGACACTCGGGCCCTGTCCACACGTAGCCGGGGATCTGCCAAAACGTAGATATTTTTCTACGTTTTGGCCTGTCATCCACACGAAAACGGATCTTTTTAAAAACTCCGGCCAAAGTGAAGATCTGCGTTTTCTCCGTTTTGGGTGTCTGCGTGTGGACGGACAAAACCGGAGTTTTAAGGTCCGCAACGTCACTTTCCACGACAAAAAATGCTGACATCACGTGTGCGACCTGTGTTTACACTAGCCGACAGCATGGATGCCCTCAGAGCTGCGCTCGCTTTATCAATCGTCCAAGCGCTTTCTGCTTGTTTGTTTTTGCAAGAGGAATCACTGCTCCTTGTGGAAGACCACAGACGAAGGACGAGGTTAAGAACGGGGAAAGTACTGCCGCCTACAGGTCTGGCATGTCCTTAACAACGTATTTATCCGGTACGTGTGGACAGAGTTTGTTTAAACGAGGTGGTGTGGATGCAAGTTTTTGGAGGGGCGGATACTCGTTTAAAAAAAAAACGGCTACGTGTGGACTAGGCCTGAGGGACAAGACAGGGCTTTTGAACACAGAGGGAGGTGATCAGAGGAACAGGTGACAGGTGAGAGAGATCTGGAGGGAAGGCAGGTGCATTCAATAAACTAAATGGGGAAAGAACTAAGCAGGAGAACCTGGAGGAGAACGGAGGCTGGGGACAGAGGGACACTGAACATGACACAAAGTAGTGCCTCTCCTGGGCCACCCCATTTTAAAAGATCTGGACACGCCACTGATTGGATTGGACTGGACTGGAGGTCCAGTTGCCTTCATGCGAACCCTTTGGATCACCGTGACCTGGATGATGAGAACCTTCACCAGAGTGCAGAACAACAGACACACATTAGAAGCTTCAGGCACGAGAGCCCAGAATTCCCTGGAGGGATTATTTATCCTTTCTGGTATGGAAGTGTTGCTGGAGAGGCCTGAAAACGTCACCTTCATGATATTCATCCGAAAAAAATCACGGACGGTTTGAAAAAACTAAACTTTTGAAGCGTGTTTTCACGCTGGACAACCTTTGACCTTAGACATCCCAAAGTGTGGTCCTCATCAGCTGTTGGTGGAAGTTGACCCGCAGCGTCCCCCCCCTCCCAGAGTGGAAATAACGAGCCCTGTTAGAGTCGCTGGATTATTGCTTATGGCATCACAATACTGAGGACTAAATTCTGCATTTCTCAGTTAAAAAAGCAACAGCCTCCAACTGTTCGACAGTTTCATGTGTAAGATTGTGTTAGAAGATGTAAACAACGGGCTTTTACTTCTTAGTTCGTGCAGAATTATTTCAACTAGCAGATTTTGGTTTCTGTTAATTTTTTAAAGGCCAAGTTCACTGAGAAACCAACTTTTACTTGTTATTTCTCAACATATGATCCATGACTGATTTCAACACGCAGGCTGAATGTGAATTCTGTCTTCTACCCCTATTTCCTGCATCAGCCACCAATATAAAACAGACGGGGGAGATTGGAAAAGCCAGACTGCACATCAGATAGAACATTTTATATGGAGTCAGTGGTTGAGTCGTGTGGCTATTAGCCAATCGGAGGTGAGATGTCTGAATTTCTGCCGTGAGGTCTGCACTAGCGCCTGAAACAGAAGCACTAGAGATTATTTTCCCACAGAGATCGACACACGAGGAATTCGTCTCTACTAGAGACCCAAATGTGTAGAAAAAACTAGCAAACTTGGTCTTCTAAAACAAAAAAATCATTGTGATCAAGATGTCGTCATTAGTTCATTAACAAAAATAATCAAAACCACTTTAAGAACAACCAAATAAAAACGTGGATGAAGCGTAATTCGTTTTGTTTGAATCTTTTCAGGTCATTCGTGTCGCGTTCTGCATTTAGCTGTAAACCCAGACAACACTCACGTGTTCTCCGCTGGAGCGGACCGGCGCTTCTGCATCTGGGATCTGCTCTAGAGGAGTTTAGAGGAAGAGAGGAAGACGGCAGCAGCGCCACAACTCACAGCTGCCCACTCGAGCCCTGGACTCTGCATCCTGTCGAGAACCAAAGCAGCATCTGCAAGAGGCTTGAGTCAGAGCTTTTCCCGGCATTCTTTTACGTGCATGGCCAAAGCAACTGTGCACTTACCGTCCACTTTATTGGGTACACCTTGCTAGTACCAGGTTGGAAACTGCCTCAATCCTTCATGGCATAGATCCAACAAGGTACTGGAAACATTCCTCAGAGATTTTGGTCCATATTGACATGAGAGCACCACGCAGTTGCTGCAGATGTGTCCGCTGCTCATCCACGATGCGAGTCTCCCGTTCCACCACATCCCAAAGGCGCTCCGTTGGATTGAGATCTGGTGAGAGGCCATCTGAGTACAGTGAACTCATTGTCATGTTCAAGACACCAGTCTGAGATGATCCAAGCTTTATGACATGGTGTGTTATCCTGCTGGAAGGAGCCGTCAGAAGATGGGTACACTGAGGACATGAAGGGATGGACATGGTCAGCATCAACACTCAGGTGGGCTGTGACATTGCATCGATGACCAATTAGTAGTAAGGGGCCAAAAGTGTGCCAAGAAAATGCCCCCCACCAGCAGCGACCTGAGCTGTTGACGCGAGGCCGGTTGGATCCATGCTTTCATGCTGACACCAAATTCTGACCCTCCCATCTGAATGTTGCAGCAGAAACAGAAATATAAACAAATGTAAAATCAAGTGTGATTTGTATTTGAATTAATGTAGCTTCATGTTTAGTAGTAATCCCTTTGAATGTATATTGATATTTTGTGTTTCCCACTGTGGGTCACTTCCTGAACAATGCTACAATTTATGTTCGACATCATTGATGGGCTAAAGGCTAGTCGGAACGTAGCCAAATACAAGGTTTGTGTTCCTGCTGGTTTAAAATGGCTCTGATCTCCAAGTGTTCACTCTGGTTTGTGCAATGTCATTATAATGGAGACCAGGGGTTCCATTCATTATGATTTATGTTGTTTCTGATTGAGTTACAGACAAAAGGTTTTGATATTGAAGTGATTTATTTCGTGTTGGACATTTGTAACAGGTTCTTTAGAAGCAGAGGGACTGGCCACCCTTCCTGTGTAAAGAGGAAATGTTGCTTAAATGTCAATTTGTGTTTAAGTTGATCTCCAAAGTTTCACTCACCTTTCTGGTGTTGTCTCCTCAGCAGGGCGGGGCAGCAGAGGGTGCTGCTTTTAAGCTGCTGGAGCATACCACTTAAATAAGGAGGGGGGATTCTTGGAGGAGTTATGGGAAACCTAGTTTCTGTTGATTGATCGAACTTGGGTTTATTTAGTATGATTTGTATTTATGTAAATAATGTTTGGTTCCATTTATTATTTTGGTGGTTGGGTTCTGTAAATATTATTTAGTTATTATTTCTTTGATGACCCCTCTTCTTGGTTTCTTCCAATCAGTCACTTAGTTATAAAAGGCAGTGAGTGTTGGTGTGAGGTTGATGTTGGTGTTGGTGACAAAACATGTTGCAATAAAGCCACCTCAACCTGGTGTGTGTGTGTGTGTGTGCGTGTGTGTGCGTGCGTGTGATTGCATATGTTTGTTAATGTTTTTAACCTGTTATGGGAATCTGGGGTCATTTTGTAAAGCACTTTGAATCACACTTTGTTTGAAAAGCGATTTAGAAATAAAATTTGATTGATTGATTTGTTTGCCTCTCCTTCAAACCACATGCCGCTGCCGGTCAAAGCTGACAGTCATTTTATAGCTTCAGCCTCATCAGTTTAGCCTCACATGGTAATTTAAGTGCATAAATATCACCAGCAGCAAAATATAGGCCTGATGGTGAATTCATGGGTCAGCACCAACATGAATTTCTTGAT